TCAATTATGAGACAATTTTTCCATCACAGTCTCTTTTATAAGTTGAACTACCCACAAATGCTCTTTATTCAGAGCATTTACTTTGGACCGATGTTAAGGAAATTTTTTAATTGAAGTAGGTATACGGACAATACGAACAAAACTTTTTTAATGGGAACCTGAATAATATACTTAACAGTCATTTTCATTAGTAGCTGTAACACAAATATTTATCAGGCGCCGAAGCGGCGAGCTGGAATTCTATTGGACAGTTAATTATATCCATTAATGGAGCTAGCTCAAGAACTGTTGAACCTCTTATCAATTAGGTCCTTTAACCGAAGGCAGAAAGTCTTTTTTTCAGTTAAGGGAATTCACCTTCTTTTGCCATGTGTGATGTTATCACTGGCCTCGTGTTATTTATTTCGTTTGCTCTGATGCAAGAGGTAGCTTCTTCTCAAGGTTAGTTTTGACTCAGTCCATAAATTATTCCAATATTAGCCATTTGCTCTATGCTTTTAAGAATTCCTTCATTTTCCCTAACATCTGCATTCATTGCTATAGTCTCATTGCTTAAGTCTTGCTCATTTCAGTTCTTATAATCACTGCATTTTTACTCAGCTCTTTCCCGGACCAAAGGCAATTTCTTTGTGTTATGTGCAATAGTTAACAAAACGATTTCAAGTTTTTTACCGTTCTGCTGTTTACTATTCATTTACAACTTCCTGTCTCGGAATCTTCTATCCCCTATTCACACTTATACCCTAAAAAACCGTTTTGCTTTCTTCATTGAAGTTCGGCTGAAACTGACGTTTGATGATTTGTCGTAAACTTAAGTTTTTCAGCATCTAATTGCTTTAAAAGAACATGTTTTGCTGGTGTGAATGGGGCGTTAGACTGTTTGGTGTAACAAGTAGGAGATGCAATTCAATTGTATCGCGGTGATACTGATTCTTACTGGAAGAATTAAGAACAAATCTGCCAGAGTTTTCGCTTTCGTTCCGATCTTAACACGTACATTGAAAGAATATATCTTAGAGAGAGATATAGACGGGAGAAAAAAAATTTATTGGATTTATTTTGATTGTTTCATTCAAAAAAGTTTTGGAATGAAGGCGAAATGAACATAGAGGGTCTCTGATTAGCTAGATAACAGTATTTGATATCAACATCATTTTTTACTCAGAAGAAATGTTTCGACAACTCCTTGTGCGATGTGGTAAAATGAGGAACAGTCATTGGACCTTATAGCATATATCAAACAAGGAAATATTTATGAGCTTTGAGGAAAAAGTTGAAATCAATTTTCAGCTGGTACATTAACAAATGTTGACTTTGGTTTGCGTGAGCATCAAGGTATCACGGAAGAATACAAAATTAATCAAGAAAGCGAACTTGCTATACTTGATGAGGACGAACTCGTCAAGGTGGGGGTGGGGGGAATAGAATGAGGTGAACTTTCGAAGGGAAGGGAGGGAGGACCTCCAAGTACATGTTTACCGTGCCACTACCAACTGAATCACAAACCCACTTGTGGGGAGCGAAGCAAATTCGATTGGGTTCTTTTTACTCCGTGTAAAGGAATCTGATCGCAAAATAAAATACGAAATAAATCATATTATATATATTTGATGTGTGTTTTGTTTCTGTTCGCTGCAGAGTCAAACACGCAGCTGTACCATAGGGGGATCACTTCCACCACACAAACTTTTCGACAGCACGAATTTATTAAGTATGAATTCCACTGTCTGGATGTGCCTCGAGTTGGAGCAATAGCAGTGTCAGATGCGTTTGACTGTACGTTTGAATGTCTTAGCAATCTGCTGTGTTTTTCTGTGAATCTGGCCGCCTCCAAAGGAGTCCATGGAAAACTTTGGTGCGAGTTGTTGTCTTCTGATCGACACAGAAACTCCACAGAGTTCAAAAGAAATGAGAGCTCGCATCATTTTGCCATCAAGGTGAGAGACACAGAAACCAATCACTTCATCTCTTTTGTCCTACTCCTCTGATCATGAATGATCTGTATCGATGTCACTACTATCACCGTCATTATCATCATAAATATTCTTAATATTGTTATTATTGATATCTGAAAATCTGTTTTATAGTTGGATAAATCTTTTCCTTCAATTCCTTTTCATTGATCAAGAGCTCCTTACCTGAGGCTGTCAGAGAGTGGTTATCATAAATTATTTTTACAAAAAACCTCGGCAATTGAATGATTAAACAAATTTTGAGCTCGCGTAATTCGTCTCGTGATCAATTATTTTCCAAACCGAAGGCCTGAGCAAACAATTCAGCTACTCACCGATATTTTGTCCAGCCTCGTCTAATAATTGTTAATAATATTTTAGTGGATTTACCATTTTCTCTTCGTACATCTTAAATAATTTGTTACACAATTTTTCCTGCCTTATCTTTTTGCAGTCGCCTTGTTCATCTTCACCATGCCAAAACGAAGCTCTCTGCTTCGCAAACTACAACGACGGTTCATTTGAATGCCTCTGTAAAGAAGGCTATATGGGAGAATATTGTCAAACAGGTACATTTTCACCACAGTATCCGCGCTGTTGACAATGAGCATAACGATGACGATGACCACGACGATGATAATGACACTGACCATGACGATGGCGATGACGATGACGATGACGATGACGATGACGATGACGATGATGACAATGACAATGACCATGACGATGACAATGACGATGACAATGACAATGACAATGACAATGACAATGACCATGACGATGACAATGACGATGACGATGGCAATGACCTCGACGATGACGATGACAATGACAATGACGATGACGATGACAATAACGATGACGATGACGATGGCAATGACCACGACGATGACAATGACCATGACCATGACCATGCCAAGGACGATGACGATGCCAAGGACGATGACGATGAAGATGCCAATGACGATGACGATGACGATGAAATCGACATTGACATTTGAACATTGACAATGACTGTGACATTGATAATGATAATAACAGTGACGATGACAATGAATGAAAATGACAATGACTCAAAATGATTGACGCTGAAAATGACAGTGACATTTACAACGACAAGGACACTGGGAATAACACTGATAATAGGGAGCTTTAGAAAACCATGACAGCAACGGCAACGGGAACATCACTAAACAAAAGGTTTAATGAGCAGAATTATGGCTGCACACGAACAAGGTTATAAATCTTTGTTAATAAACAAACTAAATGAATTTAGAGTATCGCGAGATTCACGGGTAAAATATAAATTCATCTTTTAACCAACGTATACCAAGTATACATGAATGACTTAAGCTTATCGGAGTATTTTAACGAATCTAATTTGGTAATTTTTTAGCAAATGCTGAGCCGAAGTCGTGCAAGGAAGCGTATAATCTACACAAGTAAGTTTAAGTTGACTTCATTAAGAGCTAAGTGTGATTGTTGTATATTAGATATTATTTCTTTCGACAAAAGAGTGATTTGTCTGTACCAAAGGGTTAAAAGTGCAGCTTCGGATCTGTAACTCATCACTTATATTTTTATTTTGAATTCATCTTTTCTCATCGAACTGATTTAAAAGATGAAAATATTAAATTTGTGATAACTTTTTTAATGAATTGCTACGTGTCTGTTTGAATAAAGTTGTTTAATGGTAATTTCCAAGCAGATTCGGGTTCATAGTTTTTACCACAGTGTAAATACTCGTTGGAAATTTTACAGGTTGTAAATTCAAATTTAATCTTTTGTTTTGATTACTGTATTTTTTTGTAAAACAGGCAAAAGCTAAGCTTTTTTTTCCATATTACATAAAGCATGTCAGATGCAAGTCATCTGGTCGTCTTAGACATTGACGCAAAGAACATCACAGTTCTCTGTCATATGGGAGATTTTGGGTGCGGAGATGGAGGATGGACCCCGGTCATGAAAATTGACGGAAACAAGGTTTGCCTCTAGCAATGTTTAACACTTTACATCCTAATATCAGTTTTCATATCCTCCGTACTGTTCTCTGTACATTATCTAACGTGCTTACAAGGAGAACTTGTCTCACGATTAAGAGTTTCTTTTGTTGATGATCATTTCCTTTATTCTCATGACGTTTACTGTGTGATTCAGTGGTGACATTGTAAGGAGAATTAGATACTTGTCACTCCTGGGGGTTAAAGGGTTAAGTGTGAGTTTATTCCTTCATCGTCGTACTTTAATTAATTAATCAATAAATTGGACAATGCCTACTCATTGGCTGATACTGCTCGACCTATTTTTAACGGCAAAAGTACTTGCAACGTACCTTGCCTACGGAATAGTTTATATCCTCTTGAACTTGACCATGTCCTTTGATTTTATAATTACTTAGTCAGTTATAAAATTAAGCCACATCAGTGCAGATAATGCTCAAATTCAGCCAAAATGTTAGATAACAAAAAGCTACTATTTCAGTTTTCGAGGACAGGGAGAAAAAGGCAAATACCGATAAAAACTGGGTAGCAAATCAGCAGAGCGTTCCAAGACTTTTGACACTGATTGAAGTCGTTTAGATTATACTCCCTTCATTCGTGGACAGAGAATCAGGCCATGAGACTAAACCCTTTCTATAGGACTCATTCCAAAAGTACATTTTCGCTAGGGTTTATATCAATGTCTCTAGATATCTGTTCTCCTCGAAACTATGTTACATGCACATCAATAATAGCTGGGAATGTTTTAGCGGAGAAAAAAAAAACCCACCAGGGATGCCCACCGAGCGTAATTCGCCACACCGGATTGGCTTTCTATAGAGCCTCCGAGATTTCCTCCATCGGCAAAGGTTTTAAAACAATTTAAGAGTGATAAACTAAATGATAAAGCCTCTGTGGAGGACATACTCTCTTACTTGGATCCTACCTTTATTTCTATCCTTGAGCAGAGAACCTTCCATTACGACTCCGCCTATTGGAGCAACAAAAATGAATACAACCCTCTCGCCGGGAGAACTGGGTTTGACTCACAAGAGACCAAGTTGCCGACCTATTGGAACACATCTTTCTCCAAGATCTGTCTTGGAATGAAAGTCGGCAATGTGACCAATTTCTTAGTCGTCAACAAGCAGGCTGACTCTCTGCACTCTCTCATCGCAGACGGGCAATACCGAGCCACCTCACTGGGTCGTGACACGTGGAAGACACTGATTGGATCACAAGCCTCCCTGCAGTCAAACTGCAATAAAGAGGGATTCAATGCCGTTGGTAGTAATATTCAGAGTTCTAAAGCAAGAATTGGTATCACAAACAATGAACAGAATGACTGCAACAGCTGTGACAGCAGATTGGGACTGGGTACTGGGGGTATAGTGACGACACAAACACGTGTGGTAACGTGGCATCTCACGCACCAGACAATGGTGTCAAAATCATCAAGACCATGGGATACATTTTGGTGCAGTGATTTTCAAAAGCCCAAAGGAAAGACCTTTGATGTCAAATATCATGAGGTGCTAACCCGCCAAAAACTTTGCTTTCAATTCAATTGAGAACTTATATAGAGATCCATACTTCCCCCTCAGCTTGACAATTACAACACTAGAGTAGTAAATAGATTAACAAAGATGGTAAGTTTTGTGCTCGGTAAAGAAATGGAGAAAGATATTTTTTCGTCTTGACATAAAGAAAAATTTTCCCATAAGGAATAAGGAATAAGGAATCGACCGTTAGACCTAAGGATTCCGCGCTCCGATACTCTACCACTGAGCATTACTGCTGATCCTATCAGTATGCAGGACGCGTCTCATATATGAACTTCGTAATGGGCTTCGCTCACCATAGAGTCTCTTTAGCTCAATCAAAGGTTTCAATAACTTCTTCCATAAGTAGCTAAAGTTGGAGTCATAGGAGGCTGTTCTCATGTATGGGCCACAAGGCCCCTTTCCCATAGGGGGTGAGGGGGCATGCTAAACCAACGGTGGTAAAGGGTCTTAGAGGCCGTGGTAGACTGGGGTTACTGTTTTTTGTTGAAGCCCTGTTCAAATTTAGGGGAGCCCCTCAGAAAGTCAGACATTTACTACTTTTAAAATACTTTTCAAAAAGATTATCATTATGACCTCTTTTTAATTATGAGATACATACTTGATTTCTGTTGCCTGGCCTTCATCAATAGAGCAATTTAAGAGACCTACAGGAAGTTTAATCATAAAGCCTTTTAATTTTTTTTGCCTTTGCTATGACCAAGCTGTAACAAGACTATGAAAGTCTGTATGGAAATGAATTTTCTAAAGTGATGTACAATGCTGAAGGAGATATAATGGTGGTGTGCTTGTAAATGCATTGGAAACAGTATTGTAAGGAGTTGTAACAGTATTGTAATTGAGCAAGACACTACTTGTACTTTGCCTTTATCCAATCAAGAGAATAAATTGATGGCACTGTATTGTCAGAGAAATCTGATGAAACAATGAGAATTTCCAGATATTTTGTAGTTAAGAAATGGAACTTGCCTCCAGATGAAGTATGTACTGGCAATAACAGTCAGTAAGTTCTCAAGCACATAGGAAAGATTAGCTTCTAAGCTTTGATTGATAATTTTAAGGAAGGACCATTGTATATTTTTTGGGGGTGGTTGAGAAGTTGTGATTTTAAATAAAGTTTTGTTGAAGTAGACATAATTTGTATCATCATCATAATTATTTGATAAATTTTTATGCTGTGAAAAACCTGTAAACTGGCCCAGCAGGTAAGTATCTTATCCACAGTAAATAAATTTATCTTATTTAATAAATGCCACACAGGTTAATTATTTTGTTTCAAACTCATTATCCTACATTACAATATCCAAAAACAAAGGAAAATAAAATTTGAACCTAGGATAAAATTGAACCACAACATTTACACTAATTGATTGGTGTGGAAGTGATTACCAAGTACTACTCACCTCAACAGCCAAAAGGACAAAACCGTGCACCAACAATTTAATTTCCAACCATTTTTTGGGGTTTTTGTCAGAAATAAGCTATTTTTTTTGTTTCTGAGTGGTATTTACTAGAACAATTTTTTACCACTGTGTCGGTGAAAGTGGTGGATATTTACCTCCATTTCAATAAATAATTGTTAATTATCTCATCTACTAATTAAAAGTGAACCAGCTTCCAAGCCAAGTAAAGTAGCAGAACCTCCCGTCACTTCAAGTCGCAAAAACCTGGTTTAGCTTCACTACAATGGGCCACTTTGCTGTTGTGCAGACAGTTTTATTTTATTGTGAAATCTTATGAACCAGTCCATTTCTAAGCTTCTTCAATCTAAAGAACAACGCTTTAACCCTTTCACTCCCAAGATCTGCCATACAATTCTTATGATGTTAGTTCAGAGAAATTGGTATTGGATCAACTAATAATCCCATGATTGATATTCTTCTCTATTCTCATCACCTGCCTGCTTGATATTGTATTGATGTTGTAAGGAGAAAGTCTGTCTTGGTCACTTGTGGGATTGAAAGGGTTAATACATCTTATTCTTAGCTTCATTCTCTGGCCTTCCCAAGGGCCACTTCTCCATCCAAAACCTCCAGTGAGATTGAATCAATTTAGAGCCCACATACATGACTTTAAGGTTGCATATCCTTTAAGTAGCCTTGGGAAACCATTGTCTGATAGGTAGATCCAACAGGTGATGAATATGTCAGGCAATAGTTGGTCAGTAGGCAAGTAACAGTTGACCAATATTCCATCAATAGCGCAAGATTATTTTCATGAGTGTGAGGAAAAGAGAAAATTATTTCTATAATCATCAGGAATCAAACCTCAGACCTTCAGATTCAGTGCTCTGATGCTCTACCACTGAGCCACAGAGACTCTATGGTGAGCAAGGCCCATTACAAAGTTCATGTATAATCTGAAATGTCTGAGGTTTGATTCCCTATGGGGACACATGCAGAGATAAAGGCTACCTCTGGAACACATGATTCTGATTTTATGCTTTCTTAAAATTGTCTTCCTTTTTAACATGCAACTTAATCCTTTCACTCCTATGATCTCGATACAAATTCTCCTATCTGTCTTCTTTGCATTTCTTATGATTGTAGCTGTGAGAATTTGGTGTTTAATCTAACTGATAGGGTTAACTTACAGCTCATCACTATAATGCCTTGTGTTAGGTTTCTCTTTAGTTTCAGCAGTAAAATGTCCTTGCTCTGCTATCTCTGGTCTTGTAACCCGACCAATAAATAAAACAGCTCTTGTAGATTTGTGGTAAATTATAAACAGAAATGGGTGATCAGCATAAAATTCAGGATACATTTCTACAGATCTCTTTTGCATGATCACCCCAGATGCTGCAGCAGCTTCAGTTCCCTTCTCATTCACATGGACCTGTGCCTTGTGTATCACATGCGATACATATAAGCTTTCCACAGAACTCAGCCCGGACAAGTCTGCAATGCCTGCCTCAAACACATCACTGATGCCAAGTTTACTCAGAGTCTTCTTTAATTCAAAATGCTGACTTAGGATAAACCTGGGAATTGATACTTTAACGGTGGTTTTGACAAAAGACATAATCCATTTTTCCATCAACTCAGTGTTTATCAGCTGTTCGATGCTTGAAATTCCAAGGATGTCATTTGGAAGGACGATCAACATGGAAATATCATCGCCATCATACGGAAGCTCCAGTATTTGGCAGTTGTGTTCTTCATCAACGTGGTAACTTTGTCTTGAAGTTTTTGTCATCATTGAAACTTCGAGAACCCGCTCACCATCACCAACAGTGTGAAATGGTGCATGATGTGTTTTTTCCCGATCAAAAGCATGAAGCCAAGTACCCTGAAAATAAATTGCATTAATTAATGCCACTCTAGTATCTTCAGTCACAGACCCCGGAGGCAGAAAATCCTTAATTTTCCTTCCAGTATTTTTTTCAACCCACTGATTTATCTCCTCTCTGGCTCTTTCAGAACCCTCTTTGAAGTCGACTTTTGCAATTGGAGTATTATAAAAGGCCAAGATACTCTCTTTATATTCTGCAGTTTCGTGTAGGTATTCGTGTCCCCATAATCGATTGGCGATCTTCAGCTCGAGGTTTGCATGTTCAGACTCTGCAATAGCTTCCATTAACGATTTCAATGTCAAATGAACGTCTTCAGATTCATAAACGTACCACTTCATTGCCTTAGCTATTTCATCAGCTGTGTTTCCCCTACTCCCCAGAAACACCATTGCTAAAGCAACGGCGATGCTTGTCGGAGAGTAGAACAAATTGATGCCTTTCATTTCCTTGTCTTGATCGAAAATCTTTAACAGATCGAAACCGAAATCATTAATGGTTTCTATGATATTTCCTTCATGTTTACCTTCATTTTGATCGAAGTTCACTGAATTTAAACCGTTCAGCAGTAAGAGGAGGAACAAAACATAAAATGCTGTAGACACCATCTTTGCTTACTGATTCGCTGCCATTAGATGTAATACGTGACGCGTGACAAAAGAAAATATCGCTCTGATTGGCTGAATCAGGCATGTTTACCGCAATTAAAAGCTCCTCCACTCCTTCGGAAAGATTTACGCATTATTAGCAACGTTTTATTCACTTAAGAGCGAAACGATCATCAAAATGGAAGCTGTAATCGAAGCAAATAACAAGTTCACCGTGGAAGTCCACAAAGCTCTGAAAAATGATCAGAAATTCATCGGCAAAAACCTCTTTTATTCACCGAGTAGTTTGAGTATTGCACTTGCTATGACTTACCTCGGAGCAAAGGGCAACACAGCTGGGCAGATGGCCAAGGCTCTTAAATGGGACGCATTGCCACAGGAGCAACTCCACACTGAACAGAAACACTTTTTAGAAGCTCTCCAAGCATCAAACACCACCAGCAACCAACTCCTGCCTGCAAATCGTCTATTTGTTCAGAAGAATTTTAGCCTGGTAGAAGAGTTCGTAGAAGGCACAAAAAAGTTCTATGGTGCCGAGACAGCTCTGGTCGACTACCAAAATGATAACGAAGGCGCAAGAAAGGAGGTGAACCAGTGGGTAGAGGAAAAAACAAAACAGAAGATCAAGAATATAATCGCTGAGGGAGTGTTTACCACACGTACCCGGTTGACCTTGGTCAATGCAATTTACTTCAAAGGATTATGGCAAAACCAGTTTGATGAAGAGGCGACTTACCCTCAGCAGTTCTTTGTCTCGGATGGTGAAAAGGTAGAAGTAAAAATGATGCATGTTACAAAAAAGTTCAAACATGTTGAAGATGATGGAGATCTGGGATGTCAAGTTCTTGAGCTGCCTTACCAAGGAGAGGGCCTCTCCATGGTGCTGCTACTTCCCCATGATATCAATGGCCTAGCCAAGTTAGAGGAAGGCCTTACCCACTACAACCTACATAAGGCTCTTCAGTCTTTAACAAAGTCACACCCCCACAAGGTAGAGGTGTCCTTGCCAAGATTTAGGCTGACGCAGCAGTTTCTTCTGAACAACGTCCTGGAAAAGATGGGGGCAACAGATATGTTCAGTGAATTCAAGGCTGATTTCTCAGGCATCAGCCTGGGTCTAGAGAAGCTCTATGTGTCCCATGTTATTCACAAAGCATTTGTGGAGGTGAATGAGAAGGGTACAGAGGCTGCAGCAGCTACAGCGGTGGTCATGATGGGTCGAATGGCTTTGCTAAATCCCATCTTCTGTGCTGATCACCCATTCCTATTCATTATTTGTCACAAAAAAACTGGTGCAATTTTGTTCATGGGCCGTCTGGTGAAACCAGAAGCAGAGTAGTCCAGTTACATGTCACTGGACATGATGTTGGAAACATTGATGTAGATGTTTTGATCTCAGAAAATTTACTTACTTTTGTCCAACTCAAATAAACTTACTGATGGAGACTGATATAAAGGGACCTTCTATGAAAAGATAATTAGGAAATGAGGCAACATTGTTTTTCATTTCTTATCAGTAATAACTCTCATTTGATTTTTTACTCTAGTTCCTCACACAATTGTAACAACAATGCCATCAACAGTGATCAAAATTTGTCCTCCTCTTGGAAAAAAATACTTATAATAAACACTCCCATTTGACTAAACACATAATCAATAAAGAACACAGTTACTGCATTTTCTGTGGCCTGCATTATCGCACTAACACTAGGTTATCAAAATATGAACTCATCTTAACCCTTATATTTACCATCTTTGCAGCCCTCAAAGATTAACAGGATGATGAGAAAGGGTGAAAAGCAAAGTTGTATTTGTATGGACAGGGCTGAGGGTGTACAGGTCACTTCACTCCACTCCACCACCCTCTTTCTCATGAACGGAGATTATTTGTAATAACATCAATAATGACGCATAATAGCATGCTATTGTGTGCAAGTGAGATGCTGGGTTTAGACCTTTTTTACCGAAAAATCCTGTCCACCCCGTTGGTGTTGCAAAATAAAAACTGTTTGAGATTGAAATTATTTGATTAAACAGCAATGGAAAAATATACCAACACTGCATGTTATGAGAGTATCATCATGAATATCATCATAATTTGTGAGAAGGGTTTTGGAATTCAAGAGAAATATCTACATTTTTCTTTATCCCAGTAGAGTGTCATTAGGCAATTGTGTCCAAGCAAATCAATGAAAAAAATATATCAAATAGAATGATTGCATTTGAATGGTTTTTAATGTGAGGAATCTATAGTTTGCTTTGAGTATAGCCCTGATTCCAATCACTTTGAGCTATACAGTCAAGAAATGGGGGTTGATTAGGTGTGGTATGATATGTTCATTGAATATTTCCATAACCTCTTACAGAAAAATCCTCTCCACCCCCTTGGTGTTGCAAAATTAAAACTGTTTGAAATTAAATTTATTTGAAAGAAAGCAAAGAAACTGACATGAGACCATGAAGACCAATACTAACCTTCCTCAATCTACTTTGACCCAGTTAGAACATTGGTTATCCACTGTAGCTATCCACACACTCAAGCAATTTTTTTGCCTTCTTCAAAGTCTTGCCCTGAGACAACTTAATTTGCCTGGATACTTCTTTGGGCCAGCATAACAAGTGCGTGTGGGTGTACTTTATTCAAGCCAAGGCTAGATATGTGTTGTCTCTTGTTGATTCACTTATATAAGATGATGTCAATGATAATACCACAAACACCAGCACATAAGTTGCACTTACAGATAAGCCACACCCTTGTGACTCAAATCTTGGAAAAGTTTTTGAAAAGTAATCCAAATAAATTACCTTTGGAGTCTTAAGAAAGTTGCTTTATATTTTTATGAAGTTCTCATTAGTTTGGTATACACTCCAGACAAAATTTTATTTATTTATGCAAATTTCCAGCACAATTTCCAGATATACTTGCAGATAAATGGTACCCCTGATTTGTTGAAAAAATGTTGGGAAAAATGGAGAAGTTTATATGATGAAGAAAACAGTAATGAAAATGATAACAATAATGACAATGTTAACATAGACTAAAAGATGTCTAGGCCTTTAACCCTTTATACCCTAACATCAGTATGCATATTCTCCATGCTCTATACATTTCCTGAAGCACTGACAAGGAGAATTTGTTTAAAAATCAAGAGCTTAATAAGTTGAAGATCATTTCCTTGATTCTCTTGACCTTAATGCTTGATTCATGAGTGATATTGTAGGGAGAAATTGGCAGCTGGTCACTCCTAGAGGTTAAAGGGTTAAAACTTTGCCAGCTTTTTTTGGGGGTGGATAAGAATGGATAGTTTGGAGCTCCGTATCTTATAAAGAAGGTGGGGGGGGAAGGACATAGGAAAATTGAACCAAAAAACTGTGTGAAATAAGCTACAGATGAGTAATCAAAACATGTTTCCATTTATTTGAATGAACATCAATGGAAAAATTTACCAACATTCTGCTTGTTATGAGAACATCATGCTAAGTATCATCATAATTTCTAAGGAGGGTTCAGGAATTCAAGGGATATATAAATGTCTTTTTTTCACCCCCTCCCCCACCACCTAGTAGTATGTCAATAGGGAATTGTGTCCAAGCACCATGCAAATCAATAAAACAAAAAGACAAAACAAAATTTAGTTATGTTTGAACTATTTGACTATAGCCTTGATTCCAAACACTTTGTTAATAAAATTCCCTGTTTGACATCACTGAGCTTAACAGTGAAGAAATAGAGGTCAATTAAGTGTGGTCCAACATTTTCATTGAACGTTATCGAGACGTATTCTTGTCGAGCATATTGCGACAATACGTGAACGATTCAATAGATTTTCCTATTTATTAGGTGTTACTAGAGAAAAAAAGCTACTGAAACCCAGGATGGGAACCGGAGCTCATCGCCCACCCATATCTAAGGCATAACACGATGCTGCCCAAACTTATCTACCTTCCCAGAATTGGCAGTACCCTTTGGTGTCGCCCAGGATGATGATGAAGCACCATCCGAAATCCAGGACAGTCTGAAGAAACCAAGAGCCAAGAGCCAAGACCCGAAATTAGAAACTACAAAAATTCTGGCACCGTTGTTCCGTGTTAACCGCTGAATAATGGACGCTGCTTTTAATGTGGCCCCTCCTTGGAATTTAACGCATATAGAGGCGTTAAATAAACTTTCCAAGTGAAATAACAGTACAAGAATAGTTCAGAGAACAGGTACAGTTTTATGCTTGCATTTGCGTAAAAGATAACTTTTTTGTTCACAAACAGGATCAAATTACGCCCAACTTGGTACCGGATGCGGCATCCACTGCGAACCACTTCGTACGTTCTAATTTCTCTCACAAGCAAAAACCACACATTTCTGAAAACTAGGCGTGGCCACAAACTGCGCACCGCCACAAATTAATCAGAGTATTACAACAGCCATGAAAAACAGCAAACTATCAGTTTCCTTTTTGATTAGCGTAATTCAGTAGAAATAAGGCTTCTACTTTTGGTCATCGTCGGTTGTAAAATGAAATGGGAAACTATTTCAATCGTTCACCTCATTAGGACCACTGAGAATTGGTAACCAAACCTTCCCGGCAACTGATCACCGAGTGCCCGACAACGAGAACATAAATTCTATTACTTCGTTGAAGAACGGGTTTCTAGTACATAATTTAAACGAAAAACTAATGTTCATCCTGATCGTTGTCGCTTTCTGTACTGCTAGTTTCGCTCTCACTCTTGTAGCGTCGTTTTTTCTTTTTCTTCCGTTCGCTTTTGTGTTTGTGTTTCTTCTTGGATTTTCGCCGATGGCTGTGCTTGTCCGATGAATGATGCTTCCGCTTTCGGTCTGCTAGCTTCTCTGTTAGTTCGTGTTGCTGCTCACCGTCCCTGCTGCCAATTTCTGTATTACTTTCACCAACATTAGGAGACAGTCTAAAATGAAAGGAAAGTTTACCTCGTAAAGGATTCAAGCACAAATTCACCTTGTCAGTATCAAAGGAAACGTAAAGGGAACAATATGAAGAATAAACGTACTGATGTTGGGGTATAAAGGGAGAGAAGCAGTACAAACCTTTCATTGTTTCCTGTTTCCCCTTCGCTTTCGTCGTCATCACTGTAGCTTCTCCTTTTTGTTCTTAGTTCTCTGTTCTCTTCTTTGTCTGTTTGTTTACTGCGCTCTCTCTCCCTACTTCTTCTCCGATGCCGGCCGCGTTCATCATCTCTCTCTCGGCTCTGGTCCCTATCATATCGCTTTCTGTGCCTGTCTTGTTCCCAGTCTCTATCCCGCGATCTGTCTCGATTTAGATCTCTGCGTCTTCTCCAGTGATCTCGCCACCAGCTTCTCTCGGATCTCTCGGAAGCCCGGCCACCATTGAATGGGGTGCGGGTTGGGGACAAGTCCTCTCTGTAATCGAACTCATCTCCTGGGTTGCGGTACACATGCAGGAAGTTGCAGTTTTTGCCTCTTGGACATCGGTTGCGCCCAAAAAGTCCTACAAAAAGTATAAAATGAAAATCAATAAAATAAGAAAATAAAAATATACAGATTGAATGACTGAGCAATTTAGAACTGACTTTTAGAATCAATCCAGGATTGCATTTGTTTACCTGACTGCAGGCTGTGATTGTTCTAGAAAACTCTCCGGCGAAATTTGCATGTTTAAAAAGCGGTGATCACCGGCTGAAGTTTACGCCGGCGATCGCTTGGTAAAGAACAACTGGCACTTCTGAGTTTGTACTCGTACAATCCTTCGATATCGAACACTTTCTTTGAGCCGTCTCACTTGAAATTTCAGCCAGCAGCCTACTTTCTAAGCTACAATGATACATGAACCTTTTGTCATAGGCTTTAACTTGCATTTAAAGAAATTCAATCGGAAAGCGCTCCAAAAATCTAGGTAAAACTGGAAAAATAAAAATGCTTTTAAATAAAATTTACGATGGGTGACACTTCTTACGCTTTTCACGCATGCGAATGCAAGTACAAGGCGATGGCGAGGAGACCGCAAGAAGCAGTCGCATGCAGGGGGTAAGGACGCCAAACATGCGCATGATTCGCCGTTTGCACATGTCTCGCACTTGCCTCCGCTGGACATAAAACGCAACAAGTGACGCCTAATCTGTAGATTGCTCATTAAATACCGCATATTGCTGACTTCCACTTGGTGACAGGAGAGTATTCACATGAGAGCTGCTTTGATGCATACCAACGGGCGTTAAACATTGTATAGGCTTTGGCGCATTCCTCTTCACTGTAAATTAAACATATCCGTCGTTGACTTTACAAAAAAAGTGTCACAGAGTATAACTGAAGAATTGGGAGACGAAACATTCTGCGGTAACATTTCCGCACAACCCCATACTTCATTACCCATAAAGTTCTCGGATAAAGAAAATGGATCAATTTCAATGTCAATGTCAACGCACCTACACCTCCCCTAACCCAACAACGGTCAAATTGCAACAAGTTAGGGTCAATTTGGGGTTAGAGGAGGGGTAGGTGCGCAGTTACTCAGCTCAACGTCAATGTTAAAGCACCTACACCTCTCCTAACCCAACAACGGTGAAATTACAACAAGTAAGGGTCCATTTGGGGTTAGGGGAGGGGTAGGTGCTAAGTTGTTCAGATTAATGTCGATGTCAATACACCTACCCCTCCCCTAACCCAACCACGGTCAAATTGCAACAAGTTAGGGTCAATTTTGGGTTAGGGGGGGGGTAGGTGCGCAGTTGCTCAGATACTGACTTTAACCCAATAAAACAATGCCGAAAACAAAAGATTGCCCCTAGGATTACGCCTTTGTGTTAGAGTAGTATTAGGTTATACGGAAATATTTCCAAACAGCAATCGTAAATTTTGAACGAAGCCTGTGATAAAACATAACGACGTCTTACTTTTATTTTACGTTTTTTTGGCATAAATATGCCACAAAGAACCTTGCCCCCGCCCGCAATCTTAACCTTATACTTGCGTAGATACCATGTAAACTTAGTTCCTTTGGATGGGCTCTTTTATCAACTAAACAGAGAACTCACAACCGAATTCCTGACTCGTAAATGACAAAAAAAAGTTGAATGAATGCAAAGGAAGGCCTTTCTAAACAATACCAAAAAAAGACATCATCAATCGAACAAAGGAGTGAAAGAAACATTTAGTGATGAAGTTGAAAGCCTACCTAGAAAACTGCACGTAGACATTCCCTCTCAAGTGAGGCTCGAAGTTACAACACACCTGTAACGAAACCGGAAAGGTCTTTTCAATCACGCCAACAAAATCAAGAGTGATTTCCAGGTGAATGTCGACCTTTCATGATAATTTCTCACGATTTGTGATTGGTTCAGGACCCTTACGTCATCTAATCAACCAGTCAATATCGTATCGCATTTCCTCTGACGAAGGGCTAACGCTCGAAACGTCAGTTTTAAAGCTCTTTACAGTGGCCAATTTACGTTGTCAACTCAGTTGATAATACCAAATTACCTTTTTTAACTCTCCCACCGACGCAGCAGAAATTTATCCCCTTTGTTTAAATATAAGTCAGCTTTTGACGTCAGCTGTTGCTCTTATCCACCAGTCCGCACCTTGTAAACGAGGTTTGGGGGCGAAATTTAGATGTAAACATGCATATGACCTATTGGTTTATTACACTGAAGGTCTTTCCTGTGATTGGCCAATGTTACAACGTTGATTTGAGTTCAACCAAACTATAAGTAGCACGGCAATTTTTACCTTAAATTGTACAACAGTGCCAGCCTTTCTAAACTCCGGCAAAGTGTCTTGGTAAAACTGCTTGAAACTTTCAAAAGTATCCCTTTCGTCGTACTGGAAATTAAACAAATATTATTTTAATGTTCATGACAAGAGTAGTTTTCTATTAACTCATCTCCTTGAAAGGTATCCCGAGTTAATTTACACTTTGTGGGGGACTTTGGCCAGACTGCATTGAGCAGTTTACAATTTGTTGAAGTAAATTTTTGCCAGTGCCCCTAGACCTTGCGTTTCTATCAATTACACAGAATCTGTGACTACACCACATCATTTTTCCCATATCAGCGTGAAAGCAGGAACGGAGCGAATGAATATGCCATGCATATTTACCAGGAGCAGAACGCACCTCTAAACTTGTATCTTGGTCAGCCTCGTCAAGCATGGATTGAGACAGACGAATGTCGTTGTACATGCCAGGAATCATTAGAGTTACACTGGAGTTGGGTCGAGGGTGGTGCCTGGAACACCTGAATGGATAAATGGATATCAGAAATTGGTCAAGAAATGTGAATGACGATAGAGTGTGAGTAATTTTCAACTGAGTGTCGAGGGTATCCGGGATTGCATTACTTTTGCTTCACTTCGCTGAGTGATTGGCCCAGAGAACTCGCGCCACTATCTGATCCAATCAGATTCAAAACTAAAACCAACTGCCACTTGGTCATCCGCGTTTTTCCCGCGTTTCTGGCGGTTTGCTTGTTTTTCCTAAGAGTTCTCATTGGCTCTTGTGAAAATTTCCTCGCTATGATTGGCTGTCGTAATGGCTTTGGTTTCGGTTTAACGACACTCATTCAAAAAGCGCTATAACTTCAATTAAAAAATCACTTGCATTTTCATAAATACCATCTCCACCATAATACTAAGCTCAGAGACAAGTTTTGAAGTATAACTGGGTAACGGTAGAGATAAAAATTGGCCGCAAAACCGGACTTAATAAAGGGAGACTTCCTGCATGAGACAAGTATTGCATCCATGAGGGGGAGGGGGGTGGGGGGTAACATAAGAATATTACAGATCCTCATGGGGGGATCATCAGGTAAATCTTGTCGTGACATAATGAAAATCATCCGTATCCCCCTCCCCCCGTCCCCCCATGATAAATAATAACCGGTCCCTCCTTTCTCACCTTTCTCCGAATCTACAGGCTCCCGTCTTCAGATAAAATGAACAATTCACTGTATCCTACAAAAAACAGACTCAAAATAAACAAAAAGCATTGTAACTTTGCGGTCGCTTCACATCACACTGATCATCTTATCTCCGTCAGTGAGGGCCGGTTATTTCAGATAAAATGAACAATTCACTGTATCCTTCAAAAAATAGAGTCAAAATAAACTAAAAGCATTGTAACTTTGCGGACGCTTCACATCACACTGGTCATCTTATCTCCGTCAGTGAGGGCCGGTTATTTACACGAGGTCTAACCCAAACCGCGGTTTTACGCAAGCAGAGGGCCTTAAGTATTCTCTAAGAGGGTTGTTTTCATTAAACAAATGTCCTTCCACTATCAGCTTTTGGCCCTCTTGACACTGTTCACAAAAATTTAAGTTCAGATAAAAGACTCAGCTACGTTGAAGACAGTTGAACGCGGTTTTGTTAAACAACGGTTAAATTTTGTTTTAATTTTTAGCTTCTACTGGGTTTCTTCGCTAGAATATTTAACTCTTTTTTTAGCTGTTAACAAATTTGTAGATAGGTGTAAAAATCGGAATCCTTCAGTAATTTTTGATTGATTCAGCATTTACTTCTTCACTCACTTGTTCCGTGCCGTAGGATTTACTGTCACCCGAACGTGGTGCCAGAGGATTATGCCAAGGACCATTACTCTAAAATCATAGAGAGAAAAAAAAATGAACAGTCATTAGCACTTCTGGTAGATTTTTCCAATTTTACCAATAGACTTCCGGTTTTCCGAAGGAGAGTAAATTTTGCCCTTTATATACCTATGTAACTTGACCTAATGGTACATGCTAGTGATACGATAAAATCCAATAAAAGTGAACTGCAAAATCGTTCTTTTATTATAATTGTTAAAAATTTCCTGCAAAACATTTTTCCTTAGCACAATTTTTTTATGGATTTCATCATTTTCAAAGTCTAACAATGTCATACAATGTAACACTCACACTTCATGAGAAAGGTCTAGAAACTGGAAACCGGAAATCTAGTCAATGTGTCTACTCTTTCTATTTCTGTCACCTACATGTATCTCTGAGATTTCAATAACTTTTTCCATAAGTGGCTGCCAATGGTGTGATAGGCCACTGTTCATATAAGGTCTATTTCCTCTATGGGTTGTGTGGGCATCCCCCCCCCCCCAAAATAAATTGTAATCTAGAAGCTTAAAATGTAATTTCCAGCCTTCTGAACTTCCAAAAGAAGTGCTCACAAGCTTAGCAGACAGTGGTAAGTGGAAGACATAATATATGCAGCAGTGGGCTGATGTTAATCAGCTTTTATTGAGACTCTTGTATTTAAAACCACAACTTTTTTGGTGGTTGATTTGGTAAGGTGACATAGTCATGTAATACAATACACAAGACTGATTGTGATAACTACCCATTATAAATTAACACTTGTCTGTTATGTTTATTTACCTCAGAAGTTGATGGTTTGTCCAACTCCCTGAATAAGGCATCCTATTGGAAAGACCATTCCAAACATGTTTCTTAAGAGAAGGTTAAGATTCTCCTGATAATTCACACACCATTAAAAAATATAGCCACCGATGTGGCTAACAGTTTCATGAACTGTGTTCCCCTTTTTCGATATCTTAGAGGTTATTCTAAAATAATTATAAAAATACAACAGAAAATATTATCACAGTATCTGTCAGTAACTACTGCATCAACAAGTAGTATGACCTGAAAAGGTTGTTAAGCCTTCTTGTTGGTGCATATCAAAATTTCATAAACATTGAAGAATTGAATTATTAAAAAAATGCAATAATAAGTGCAAAATTGGATGAATACAATCCCTTTACTATATCATACATAACAATAAATAAAAAAAATGTTCTTGTAGGCATATTTAGAATTTGCAACTTGCTTACAGCAACCTTGAATAAAAGGAAAAAAAGTTGGCTAATTACTGATCAGTTTCCCAGAGTAAATTCATTTCAACCATCAAATGATTAACTTTGATACCAAGGTTGTCATTAGAAAATGCTGTAAAAATATGACCTGAACTAAGCAGATGACTGAATTGAGTTACACTTGTGATGCAACATGCCCTCCTTGCAGGGTCTGAGGCCACCCTCCCCTAAAAAATTTGAAATTTGAAACTCTCTTGGACATGATTTCCAGAATTATGGAACACATCTGGGTAATTTCTTTTTAAGCCACACATTGGTGTAGAATCTTTTCAAAAATACTTTTGTTCTGTCGTTGAACACAACACACAAAGTAGCCAGTGCAAAATCGTCTGATAGCCTGTGGTTGTCTACAGCCTACCAGCCTCTAATGACAACCCTGTCGACACAAGCAACAGTAGCATTTAATGCTACAGTCAGTAACACTTAGTATAACAGGTACATGTAATCTATGAAGTATATTTATTGTAATTTATCTGAAGCTACTTTTTTTTAAAAGATACAAATATTCTTTGATGTGATAGGCCCCACATGTTAAGCCACTGCAACTTGCTCATGAACTTGGCTGATGTTATTCCACATTTGTTAAGGATCATCAGGTATTACTTAATTTTGAATATTTATGACATTTACAATACATTTTATATGTTATGTTGGAATAATTCATGTAGTTACATATCTGAGTTTTATACAAAGTAAGAAGTTGTTTGACACCAGAGTTATAAACAGAGTTATCTTTGCCAAAACATTGATCATCAGACAACCTTTTCTGTTCTTATCTACCATCTTGAACCCCTGGGGGAAGATGGAAGCTGTCACTGTTTCTTGCCCCAATAGAAGCACATACTATATTACAGTGTCATTCTTGTGGGGAGTGAGTGAATTAAAAAAGGAAGGGTGATAACTTAAAAGAGAAAGGGGCTTTTCAAGATCTGGTTAAAAAAGTGTAATGATATCATCCCATTCAGCTAGTGTACGTGTCCTTGGCAGATTAAGATAGATATGTTGAGAGAATTTGATGTTACATCATTCTACAAAATGCCCTCTAACTGATACATTTATCTGTTAATTCTGATCACTAGTTTGCTGGATAATGTACAAACATTGCATTCATGAGAGATTACATGTAGACCACTTTTGGGAATTGAAGGGTTAACAGAGAGATTGCAATTATCAATTATTTATTTGACATTTAAAAGGAATCAATAAGAACAACCTGACTCTGTATTGGGATACGTTCAGTGAAAAACCAAATCCATCAACAGTGATATCACCTCTTTCTCTTTGATTTCCTGTTGTTTCCTTTCCTCCTTGTCCTTCTCCCTTTTCTGTTCCTCTTCCCACTCTCTCTTGATTCTTTCCTACATCATTGGCAAAAAAAAAAAAAAACAATTAAAGTTAGCAATGGAAAACATCAGCCATAATTACAGAAAATCTTTTCCCTTTAAGATGAAAATGAGATAATGTGGTGTTCTCCTTTTCAGGCTGTAATCAATAAAATCTACTGCCTGTAGTACAGGTATATTATTACTGCCTACAATTTCTTGGAATTCTTGAAAGTTCAACAGGTAAATGGATTACTCTACCAGTTTGAAAATTTCTTTTATCTAACATGCCAAAAATAAGGGAGAACACTGTAATGGCCAGTAGTATTCAAGATTTCAATGCTATTAAGACTGAAATTAAGTGAATATGCTGATGGCTTTGACGAAGGTCAGCTGTCCAAACATTATACATCATCTGAGTACACACCTCTTGTTCCAATTTTTCTCTCAACTTTCTGTCTTCATCCTCTTTTTTCTTTCTGAATCTTTCTTGTGCAATAGCTTCCCTTTCCAACCACAAGCGATGCTGAGTTTTTCTTTAACAAAGTAGATGTACATAAATGACCGTCAGCAAAAAAATAACACAAATGACAAATAACACAAATTTGAAAGTTTCATGCCAATCACCTTTCCTCTTCTTCTTCCAACAATCTCTTCTTTTCCGCTCTTTCCTTTGCCTCTACCTTAGCCCTGATATAAAATCATTGTGGTTGCTTTATTACCAACTTTAAAATTAACATCAGTATGCACATTCTCCATACTGTTCTCCATAAATTTCTAAAGGTACTGACAAGGAGAATTTGTTTAACAATCAACAGCTTCTTTAGCTGGTGATCATTTCCTTTATCCTTGTCCCTTTATGTTTGATTCAAGGATGATATGGTTAGGAGAAATGAAATGCTAGTCACTCTTAAGTGTCAAAAGGGCTTAAACAAAACATATTTGCTTACAGCAAAAAGGAACTAAAAAACTGATCTCCCCTGCTCCACTCTGATTCTATGTATTGTCTGTCATTTGTTTCTTATAGATTTAACTTTGAGAATTGATTAATATCTTCATTTCACTCTATCACTATTCTGCTTGAACATGTATTGATAATGAAAAGAGCAATTCATATCTGGGATTGAGTAGGGTTTAACCTTTAACTCCGAGAAGTGAATAACATGCAATTCTTCCTATAATATCCAAGGTTACATTATCTAGCAAACTGGTAATGAGAATACTCAGACTGATCAGGTAGAAGTTGTTACCTTGATCTAACACCACATTCTCATAACTAATTTACAATGAAAGGTGTGACAACTGGAGGGGAGAATTAATAATCAGGTATTAGGAGTTAAAGGGATCCATCATAAAAGTCAATAGTCATAATTATGAAAAACTCTAAACAAATATGGCATGACACCAAGACCAGAAGGTGAAGAGAGTTGCTGAATTATATCTGTATCCTGTTAATCTTTCTGCTACTATGCTAACAATATAATGAACCTGCAACTCACCTTAATATGGGATCATTTTCTATTCTCCACTTTTCTGTATAAAACAAGGAAGAGGGTCATAACTTCAAAATGAAAGTGTCTGGCCATAAAAACTGAAAACTGACAAACTGACAAACATGGTTTAATAATTGTAAGTATAACACAAACAACTCTTAGCGTGCGATTAGCGTGCTGGTCAACAAGCAGTTTCTTAATTGTTAGCAGCTTTGTTTTGTTTTGCCAAAACAAAACGGTTTTGTTAGTGTGCTCTATGACCAGTGCTAAGTTTAATTTTACCTTCAAGTTCCTCCTGTTCTCTCTTCTTAGCTGCTTCTTGTCTTTTCTGGCGCCGTCTTTCCTTTTTGACAAGCCTTCTAAACTGTTTGTGGCTTTCGAGTAAAGAATCGAAATATGGAAATCGAACTTGTATTTAACCTTGGGTCAAATCAAATTCATTCAAGTGTTTCCAACCTTCTGGTGCAAGGAAAGATTGTATCGAAAAAGCGTTGTGTTTCGGATTAATTCAACAGTTAAACAACTTTCTGGTATGGGTACATTGATCTCCTGAAGAAAATTACGAAAGCTACGAATGGGAGGTCTAACTAATGTACATGTTTTTGTAAGCTTCAAGCTTAGCTTCGCCGCGAAACAACTTAGGCTTTCGCAAAATCGAAAAAAAAAGAAAGAAAAAATAAGATAAGTTTAAGTTGAAGATAACTTCTTCTGTGTTATCAACTCAAATTACTATACCTGAGCTTAACAGGCTGTTTTTGTTGACAATCTTTCTTCGACTCCTCATCTTCCTCGTGCTCTTCGACCGCCATGTTGAGGAATCGTCGGCCCCAGGCTTGCCACTGTTTACCTCGCTGGGATAATACTAGTTCCCAGGACTTCTTCCTTCTTAGAGTTAAGCAATCCTTCTTCGTCACTGCCTCGTTGGATTGTCTCTTCTGTTCCTTCTTTTGTTTTGGATGCATTTGCAATCAATTTTCAGTTCAAACAACGATAAATTTTGTGATGTTTTGAGGCTAACAGAGATTACCTCCGCCTTGGTAGACAAACCGCGGCTTGGAAAAGCACTCGTTCGCTCGCACGCGTTCCTTCTTCTACATGCATGTTTCAGGTGGTTATAGCACAGTTCACCTCCTACAGGTCGATATACGACAACCTACAACAATTACTGAATCAAAAAGGGTAGCAGAATGAAATACGTTTGTCAAAAATGGGGTCAGAGGGTCGGTACACCGACATATGTAACCATCCTCCAGCCCACAGATACCTTCCCCCTCCCACTTCTACCCCTTACCCCTTACCTCTAACCTACTTGTAGCCGTACCCTTCCCTCCTCTCCCCCCCCCTCAGCTGAAACGGAGGCGAGGGAACACCCCGCGTGTTCGAGTGCAGGACATTTCGATTAGTATATATATTGTATGGTAATGGCTCATTTTAGTTTATTGTATTTCAGTTTTTACGAGCTTTCAAGTTTAATAAACAAATTGAGATTCAACGGACGCTTGGAGGTTCCGTTAATATAAAACATTTCTCCGATGCGGCGTTGTTAGATTCGATGGATGTCTGCGTCCGCTCCATCACACTCGTAGTAAACGAAAGCGTTTGGGAATCACTTAAGACAAATAGACAATATAAAATATCTTTTATTAAGTTCTTAGAAACAGATCCTATACAACACGGAATATAAAATATCTCCAAATGGATTTCCTTAGTGTACACGGTTTGAGACTTCTATCAATTGTTCTCTTTTCATCTTCTTTGATTCTCAACGGTATTATTGTCTTTTTTAACTGATTACAAATTTATAAGATGACTCTTCCTTCTACCTCCCCGCAGCCAAGGCTGACAAAGGGAGCTGGGACCGAATTAAATTTGGCCCTGGTCGCCTTATGAAAACATGTTAACCGCGCCCCCTCCGTTTATAACTTCAGAATAAAACATACAAATTTAATAAATTAAGCTGAAAACATTTGCTTTGTCATGGAAGATATCACTCTTAAAAGCCGGGTCTTAGAAAAATTATATCTACTTGAATTACTGATAAAAAATTTGTGACCTTTTGTCGTCATAACTCGATTAAGGCTTTGATTAAACGCCACGCCCACTTTATTCGCTAAAACCGAAAGTAAGTAAGTGAGAGGAAATATCGATTAAGTATTATCCTTCCAGATGCTGAAATAAATTTAAATCTAATAAAAAATAATCCATCATTCGTATTATGTATAAAAGATTTAAATAGCAGCTAGTGGATCAGGGTGATACATCGCCTGCGAACAGTTGGCCATGATCCCTAGTTGACGCCGGCGCCACTAATCCAGAAAGTCGCATAAACTCGCCTCCAATTTGGTTATTTCGGTACAGTTTGTTTCACCCGCCAAACGGGTGTCAGGATAGGTCTAGCTCGATTAGGGTCATTCATTCTGTCAAATACGGTTCCACGCTGTTTTAGGAACGAGCATGCAAAGTATGCTGCTGAATGCCCTCTGACCCTTGTGTAATTCCTGACTGGGAAATCTTCTAACGCTTGACCTCAGCGGAAGTGACAAAATCGTCACAACTTTCGCACGTATCTTAGAAGTACCTCTCTCCGTGCTAAATTTCTTATTTGACTACTGGTTACATAAACGTAAAGACGTTATGAAGTATTATTCATCAAGCTCCTCACACACAGCCAGACCTGGTCCATTCAACTAGTTAGTAGAGTTTTTTACGAACTCCTGTTCAAACCATGTTTCGGAATCCGAGGTGTTCAGATCATTCTCGTCCACCCATAAATGACGCGCACACATCGAACCAGTCACGAAATCACTCTCAGTTGCACAGAAACAGGCACTTATTTGCGATGTGGACTGAAATATCGTTTCCAATCCTTCACGACCTGACTCAACGCCCAGAAAGTGATGTCCTCCATCATGTCCTCACGCAATCGCGGTCAAATTCACAGATAAGGGGTCTAAGACTACAGAAGAACACTGGACTTGCCTCGTTAATAGACCGAACTCAAACGTTTCTCTTTGCTCTTTTTCGAGCCTCGTAAACCAAAGCTTCTTCTTATAACAGAAGTTCTGTTTCCGAAGGAATCCCCTTCTTCGTCTTCCTCTCTGAGATCGGCGCTTGATACCGGATCTGGTAAACGCAGGGTGGGTGATGGAGGGGGTTTTATTTCTGTCGTGGACTGTGACTTCAAGAACGGTTTTTCTTTCTTCCCTACAAATTGAGTGTAATATCTTAGTCTCTTTAAATCAACCAAGTCTCATTAAACCAGGTTTCCAAGGTCATAGCTGGAAATTTTCGACTGAGAAGGGCAATGAAACAAATCAAATCTGACCAACACTCCACGAAGACAACATTTAATAAAATGGCTGAAACATTTTCTTAAGGGGGGGAGAACTGCGCTACCTGCCCCTCGGCTAACTAGGGCCCTGGTTTCTGTACCATGAAGCAAATTTACAGTTAAGCTTGGGATCGATTATCCACCACTGTTCTACCCTACCCTTTTACCCTACAGTTCCTTCCCCAGCTTTCTTCATAATTTACAACCAATAATTATTTTCTCTGGGTGAAGCTTGGCACTGTAAGAGTGCTGGTCATACCAAAAACATAATGCACTGCGGCCAGGGCTCAAACCTTGTTTGCTCGATGTGTACCCCTGAGCTCAAAAGAGAGAAAAAAATCTGAACTCACCATTGACTTTCTTCTGTTTGACGGATGCTTTGGCGGCTGTCATGGCAGCTTTTCTGGTGTTTTGTGATATTATAAGACCTAAACCCAAACAATTAAAACTTAATTTAGTCAAAAATAATAATTATTGTTATGAAAGACGCCACTCCCTTTTGACCACCGGAAAGAATGGCACGATTTGATCAAACATACAACAACAATTCACATTCAAAATTACAACACATTACACTAAAACTTTTTAAATAAATTTTTTTGGGGTGGAGAAACAACTAAAGGAGGTGAAATAAAACGAAAAAGAAACAAAGATGGTCGAGAATGGCAAAGTTTAACCCTTTACACCCTAACATCGGTGTGCATACTCTCCATACTGTTCTCTATACATTTCCACAGGTGCTGACGAGGAGAATTTGTCTAACAATCAAAAGCTTCTTCAGTTGCTGATCATTTCCTTTTTTCTCGTGACTTAAATGTGTAATTCAGAAGTGATCTTGTGAGGAGAAATTAGATTTTAGTCGTTCTTAAGCGTCCTAAGGTTAACACGGATTGCAATCAATAAACTTGAAAAAATTTGGCGAAGTGTTTCGAGACGAAAAAACCCTGACATACCTCCACCAAGGTTGCCTCTTCCAATCCCCTCTCCCTCCAAAAAAAAAAAAAAAACAACAACAACACTAAAAAACAACTTCAACGACAAAAAACAAAAAGAAAAGTGGAAGGAAGAAGTAGTCGTACGCTTGAAGAAGGGGGGGGGAAAAATTAGTTAGAGATATTTTGCGAAAATACTGAGGTATTCAGTAATAAAGTTAATTACCTGTTTTGGCGTCTTCACTGACCCTGCGTCGTTCGTCCTTGAACGCCTTCATCCATTTCTCTTTCTGAGCGGCTTTCTTGGTGTAGAAAATGTACCATCTTTCTTTTTTAAAGTTGTAAATTTTCCACGCGTTATTTAGCGGCGATCTGTCTAAAGTTTCTAAAAAAATCAATAACAAAGGCGGATTTCAGCTCAGCAAAGCCTTTATGCGAACTCGGTTTGATTAAATGGATTTAACAGACCAACTTTAAACCAGGACTGCTTTAAACTGTGATTGGCCAAGAAAAACGCCTCTTAAACAAAACCACGCCGCGACTCTGGACGTTGCATTTTGATATGGTTTTGTCTTGTGATCACTTTGTTCTGATCGCCTTTTGTCGCGCCTTTGATTTTAGTTTTACAACATTAGTTTGGAAAGCCTTCTATAGCTAATAAGAACAGCCAATCTAAAACAAGATCCATTCCTTTTACCTTCCCCGTCATTCAACCAAACAACCGAGCAGTCATCCATGTCAATTCTTCCCTTGTAAGTCAAACCATTCTTCTTTAAAATGTCCTGAAAATAAGCCAAACACAATTTTTTTTAAAAAAGTTGTTAAGTAGTTTTCTTAGAAATTAATTTTCAGAATCGGAGGACGTGAAGACTCCGAGCAGTCCCTCTTTTCATGCGAAGCCTGTCGCGCGAGTCAAACTATTCCGGAAAAAAAATGATGTGAACACGCTGCGTGGATATACGGAAAGTTGTAGCCTTACTCCCAGAGTTCCGCATGGCGCGCTAATATCATTTTTTTTCCCCGCGATATTTTTTACTCGCAAGGAAGATTTGGCAGAAAAGGAAGGACTGCTTTTAGTTTAGAAAATGTGACACAAGTGTTTCCCTGGGCCTTGATGAATCATTAGTTCTCACCTTTTTACAATAAACAAGTTGATGATCAAACAAGAACATGACACGATCTTGTGAGCTCCCATTGGAAGTCTTGATCACGTCACCAGAATGAATCAGTTCCGAGCTCTTCTCTAAAACGGCCTCGCCCTTCAGAAAGAAAAACAAGGTAACGAAGCGTTCAATGGAGAGCACAAATATCCGACACTTACACGCTCACAAATACCACACTAATACTACTAATTTCTCGATGTAATATGTTAGGCTATCAAAGCTGACACCCCATTCCCAGGAACTTTTTCAGTTTCCAGCTCAAATTGTCCTGGAAGTGAACTGGCCAGGTCTGAAACAAAATTGCACTGGACTGCTTCCATTCTTTTCTTGTCATAACATTTTTCTTCACTTCAAGACATCTTTCCTCGACAACAACGACTCCTCTTATGTCTTAATTTCATCGTTTGTATCGCCCAACAATTTAAGCTAAATTGTGCCTCGATCAAACGTAGCGACATCTTTCTCTTTAACTTCCCCCTTACTACCTTTCCCCTTCCCATCCCCCTGGGGTCGATCTTCACTCACCTCCCACCCCTCAATCGTGCTTTGCCACTTCGCAATCTTGTTGATACTCTCAACTTTCCTTTTCCGTTCGTTGATTAGCGAGGCGACGTTTTTCATTGTTTCCAGGGCTTGCTTCACCGTCTGAAAATCCTTGTGGGTTGGTCTCGTGTGCTTCTTCAGCTCCTGAGCAAGGAGAAGAAAGATAAATATATAAACTTAAGAATAAAGAGTTTGCAGTTTGAAGACACATTCATCATACGTGATTTCGAGTGGCTGGACATTCGCTTCGTGTTTTAATAGACCTTGACTTCGTCAAGGTATATTAAAACACGAAGCTAATGTCCAATAAAAAATGCGAAAACGAGCAAGGCACTTGTCGGAAATAGGATACTTAGTACTGATTTAAGTTAATGTTGATGTAATGATTGTGAAATATCGGCCCAAAGATCAAGCGTCACGTTCTGTCTGCTCTGATGAATGAGTTTCTTTATCTTTTGTCTAAAAGATCTTTTTAGCCAATCAGCGTACGTTTGATCAAGGTGTGTCCATAAGATAAAAGGACAATTGATTGTAGTTTTAGTCAGTCTGATATATGACTTTGTTGTGTACGTGAGAGGATCCGAGAAATTAAAAACTGGAAGAGAAAAGCGACAGTGTGGGTTCCTTACTTATTCCCCACACACTATTCTAGCCAACTAAACCGAAAAAGTTTGGTTAATTAAAGTTTTAACATGAGAAAAAAAGATTCCTTCCAAGAATTTCGCTTTAGTGGGAGCAAAGCGGGTAATCCCGTACGGGCAGCCAATCAAACACAGGATTCGCTTCACTTCTTTTCCGTTCAAACTCATTCTAGAAGACCAACAGACAAACTATCTTCTTTCTCAACGTAGTCTAACGCGAGTGGCAATCTTGGTATGAGCTTCTTCTCGGGGGCTCCTCCAAACTCTAACAATTCTGTTTGTTTGCCTTCATGGCACCATTAGCACTATATTTCAAAATGGCGGGAGTGTAAAGAATTTCCGTGTTCTTAGACACTGTTCAGATCTCAACATCAAAATGTAATAGTAACTACAACATCGGGCCGTAAAAATAATCCATGACTGGTCAAACCAAAAGATATAGAGAAAAAACATAGCAAACCTACCGCTAGCTGCAGAGGATATTTGCAGATCTTTTGAACTGGAGTCAATAAGAACCCATCAAGCGATATCTTAATCATTTCCTGTAGAAGACGACAAGCCTAGAGGTAGACCAAAAGTATGATTCAAAAAAAAAATAAAACAACATAAATAAAAAAATAATGGGCAATTCGAAAGTGGAAAAATTAAAGAAATGCGACCTCAAGCTCTTGACAAGTAATGGACGGTGAGGTTTGATTATGTACAAGAGGAAACTTAAAGAGCACCAAAAAAATAATACCCGATTCGTTGGTAAAAATAAATCATTTCATACCTCAAAGAATTGTTTGTATTTGTTGCTTTCACTCAATGTCTTCAGCTCTGCCATTGCGTGTGGGTGGTTGTTGCAATACTCCGAGTAAATATCAAAGCCCTTCCTCTGTGTAGCGAAAATAGCAAAAGGAAATGATAAAAAAAGGTTCAGGTCACTTGAGATTTGATTAAAGCTACAAGATGCAATATGATGGTATGCGAGATAGACTTACATTATTTAGAAACACAGCACCAATCTCAGACGCACACGGGTCTCCTTCCACGAAACACTCTTCCAGTTGCCTCAATATTTCCTGGTGAAATTGATATATCTGTTCGATATTAGCAAAGATCTTGGTAATCTGGTCCTCGGTAAACATATCCGTTCTCTTTTTGGCTTGATTAAGATAACCCTGTGAAAAGAAAATCAAAATTTCACTTTCAAGGCGCAAAAGTCATAAAAGTTATCAAGGCAAACGTGATTCTGCATGAAAGGAAAAGTAAAGGAAGGAATGGGCGCCATAGTCATGGTCTTGAAAATCGACAGTAACTCTAGGAAAACAACGGTATGAGACAAATCCAAACCTAAACAGAAGTTTAAAATATATTGGCATCATAACATTTCGTTCTCACAGTGTGTGCACAAAGAAATTTACAAAGCCACTTCACACCGAAGGTTTGGGAAATTATTTCAATCTTCGTGCAAAGGTTACATGTCTTACAAATTCCTCTTTGGTGTTTTCCCTTCAGTGTCTTTTTCCCCTAAGCAACGTTCGCAAAATAGAGTTTATGAATACGCTTGATTTCCGCTCGAGATAGCAACTGTGCCCCAGCTCACCTCCACCACATCTTCCAAGTTCTTGACATAATCTCTCTCAGTGTTGAGGATTTCTTGGACGACACGTGACCTGACGTCATTGTCTGAGAGAAATCCCTCATTGGTTCCTTTTCTGGTCCGCACAGGAGGAGCAAGTTTGGTTTCGTCCGCAGCCAAAGTCTGTGACACTCGAACCTAAGCAGTGAACGCTGATATCAGAATTGCTACTGAATTTCCCTGTTAATTGTATGACGACTACTTGGTGATGATGAATATTGCTCGGTTGAAAACGAAATATTGTACGTGTATATCGCATCTTAATAAATCCAACATTTTATTATACTTTTATGAGAATAAATAGGGGAAATAAAAAAGTCTTTCCCAAGAAACGCGGGAAAACGAGAGTAACAAGGTCGCCATTGAATTTGGTTTGGAATCTAATTGACTGAAAAAGTGGCGCGAGTTTTCTGGACCAATCAAGTAGCGAGGTAATCAAAACGAAGGGCAATTCCGAATTTCTTTCGAAACTCAATTGAAAATTGCTCTAAACTAAGAACGCTACTTTCAGTTCGAGCTGAAAACAATGGACGAGAAGCATTACCTCATAGAAGTACTACTCTAACTTTATTTTATCCCAGTTCAATCCTCAAAAACACTCCACTTACCCGAACAAAAGGCGCAGGGAACCAACCAACCCGGTCGCCAACCTGTCCAAACCACCAGTCACATGACGTCATAGTCAGCACAGTGATGATGTCACCCACTTGGAAACTCAGCTCCTCCGGGTCCATAGTCACGTGATCCCACAGGGCCTCAGCAAATGCTTCCGGTACATCCATCTATTGCGTAACCGGAAATAAAAAAAAGTGAGTTGGACTTTGTTCGCGCGGATAAAACAATTTCGAGCTTTCTTAATATTGATCTAAAAGAAGCAGGGCTGATATTGTACTGACGAAGTTTGTTTGATGTATTTTTTAACTACTGCCTTCACGAAGTAATTTATGACGCGTGTGAGTTTCCTTTGACGTGCTTCACCAATAAGCAAGATGATAACCACTTTGCAAGCTCGTTACAACTTCAGTAACCTTTGCAGTAAACACTTGTAAGGTCAAACCTCTATTCGTAGGCTACCCTCACTCAAGCGTTTCTTTTTCCCTTCTTTTTTTAATATTTCATTCGTTTACAGCGTATAGTGCAAGAGCCATCAGCGAACTAAGCCGACATTTGTATTTATTTTTAACAAATAATATCGGACTCTCTTCGCCAATCTCAAGTCACTTTTAGACCAACTTGTAGATTTTATAAAGAAACTACAGTCTATTAAGATATCAAAAGCGAAATTGACATACCAGGGAAAAATTTGCATCAAGTGAAAAGGCATGCACTGATTTGATCTCGTTTAAATTATTCAAATTTAAGTATTCTCATCCGAAACATGAATTCTTTAAAAGTAAAACTGGCAAGTTAAGCACCCATATATCGATCTCCTTTGTTTATATTTTACTAAAGAATTTATCCAAGTGATTCTTGCATGCACATCTTCGCCGAAAAATCATTATCCTAAACAGGGGGTTGATTATATTCGGACGCTTCAATGTAGCTCCTGTATCGCAACGTGAGTTCAACCTTGTGAAAAATCAAAAATCGAGACGAATCCAGTTTACATTTGCAAGATACGCTACAAAATGTACAAATACAAAATGATGGCGTCAACTGTACGAATTAAAAAATGAGAAATATTTTTTAAATGGCAGAAATAAACCCCTCTACTGCTCACACGTTTTTTTTTTAAAGATATATATGTATAAGAGTCTACGCACTGAATATAGCAAAAAAGAAAGCTACATTGTTCTCAGTGATATATGTAAACAGGAGATAAGAAGACGACATATTCATTCCAACGACCGAAAAAGTTCAACCATGGTACTTTGTGTTCCTCTTTCTAAAATCCCAAAGTCTAGCAATTATACGGCTTGGAAATTTGGCGCGTTTCCACAATATTCAGCCCATCTTTTAGGCCAACACGAGAGAAACAGTGTTACTATTCAGATATTTTGAGAAGAATCGATAATATTAGTTGTGTATTGAGAAGGTCAGAAACCAAAATGCAAAAAGGATCAATGTTTTCTCGAATCAAGATCGCAAGAAATTCGAATTTCAAACAAAGGCGGTTGGATAAAGAAATGCAAATAAAATGACTCTCCCAAGTTCGGCACCTTCTCTAGAAAATATTCCCACGGCCATTAATGAAGTTAATGGTAATGAATAAAATATTAGAAGTGCCACAATTAGGAAACAATTAAAACTCTGTGATTAACCTCTGGAATGCGTTTTCCTTCTGTGAGCAAATTTCAAGTAAACTAAGACGTGAACACTTTCACGAACGACAAATACAATTAAGTTGTCGGTGACTGAAATAAATCATTATGGATTACGTTCAAATGATAGCCCATCGATTTTAACCGAGGCTATTTATAGTTTGTTTGCGCACTGATTTTGACGCATTTAAGCTTTTAGCACCACCGAAGGAAATGTGTTTTTACTGCGTCGGTATAATTGATATTTAATAGCTAGAGTCTGGAGGGAAAAAGGAATAAAAACATTGTACAGTAGATACTAATGCGCGCGGTAAACTTCTAACTTCGTGAATGGGTGTTTTAAAACTCCAAATTTTGACGCTGGATCAAACACGATCTGGATTATTTAAGTTTACACACAGATGAAATGAAATTCTAACTCTCGTGATAAAAACGTCGTTTTGACATGAATTTGGCTTTGGTGTACATAAACAAAAGCAGAATTTGCGGTTCAATTTAAATCTATTAGCTGTATCGCACACTAATGTACTTTCTGTATTTTTATGTTCTTGTCTGGCTCGCTGAATGACAGCTTTTTAAAGTTTTTCGAGTGCGCCATTTTAATTTTGAACTTGATATGTCCATCATCGCCGAATGGAAACATATGTAGAGCCGCGCTTACATGTCTAACTTGTTGGCGCAAATTGATCAATAACGCAAGCTGTAAAGTCGCTAACGGATAGAAGATTTATATAATCATCCGCACTTACAACATTTTAGGAATGTTCAAGAATCGTGTTTACTCGTATGCTACACTGGTCAAGCATTTCAAAACACATTTAAGCCCACTTGGAAAGAACAGAAATTAACGGAATCATAATGATCAAAAATAGGAGATTTAAAACGCACATTTCGTTGGAAAATAGATTTCAAAGCGATTCTGGAAGATTATAAACGTTTTCAATATGTCGATTGCGGTATCAGACCTGGATTAGCTTACAGACTAATGCAACATTAATAATCACGATTGGACAGACGATACGGGAATAGTCTTACCTGGTAATATAACGCCGAGCCGTAAGCTTAATGGTTTTAACAACCAAAGAGAGCGGACATTACGAGATAAATCCAAACTGCCATATTATGCTCAAGTACATGATTATCTTACTACCAGGTGGCCATTTGAGTGAGGAGCGCTTACGACCGACACTTCGACTTCAAATTGCCTCTGCTAATGACTTTTCAACGTGATCGTCAGCGAGCAACTGACAGTGAGAGCAAATGTGGTTGAGTTTATAATCAAAACATAGCTCTGCCTGGCACTAATTTAGCTGGCAAACCACTGAAATACGATCTATATATCCATCGTTCACTTTGTTTGCTTGCGATTGACAGAATCCCTGAACAACGTCAATAATGCTAATTCAGCCTAAAGTTTTCAACACCTGGGGCCGAGCTGTCAAACTCCAGCTGGATGCAATCTGTCCCATGCTTGCAGCATGATTGCAAACCTCAGGCAATTTGCAGAGATAAAGCTTCATTATCACAGTTACCTTTCAACGCTAAATTTGCTTTTCTGTCCCTAAATCTCAGTTGATGACCTGTGCTAGGCATAAAACATTTTCTATGTTTTTCGCTCTCCAAAGCTATTATAATTTATTGAAGATAAATTCATGTAAAAATGACTATCTTTGAAACGATCACATGCGAGTTTTGTCCTGCAATACAACAGTTTTCCAGTAAAACAGAGTACTAAACATTGATAATAATAATCCTCCCGAGGATTTTAGGATTAAATCAATTTATCATTCATATAAAAAGTGGATTAACATGATCACATGCTAGCAGTTTGCTGGCTAAAATAAAACGAGAAAATGCAAGTTTTGCGTCAGAATTATAGACCGATCAGAAAATGGTGAAGTTGTGTTAAAACACTTCTAAAAGAACTTAACCAAGTTTTTATGAATCGAAAAAGATCTGTAATAGTTTAAAAGTTGATTGTGCGTTCTTTAACTTTCATTCTGTATCAGTGTAAACAATTTACCACCAATTTCTCAGTTTTCCCTCGGGTTATTGCTCTGAGGGCTTCCCTGTGCCATTTGAATAGGTGGAGGGGGGGGGGGGGAGAGGAAGGGGGAGTTCACTGTTCAGTTGTTACCTGATTTAATCAGATATACTTAGTGACAGTTTGTGACCAGTAATTAAGTTAAAACTGAATGAAACCAGTCAGTCATAAGGTTCAGTTGTAAAATATTGAGACAACATGCAAAGAAGGACTAAAAATGAAACTTGACAAACAAATAAGTGAAGCACGTAAGAGTATTTGAATCTAAAACTGTCACCAAAATTGATGAGTTATTTGTCAGAAGGATGAAATCTGCCCCTTGTTAACCAAAATGCTCATCAAAACCTAATTACTACCATGAAATGCAACCAGAAAAAAAATGGTGCACACCACAACCCTTTAACTTCCATGAGTGACCAAGACAGAATTTCTCCTTACAATATCAATACGATATCAAGCAGATAAGTGATGAGAATTAAGAAAAATATCAATTTAGGAATAATTGGTTGATTCAATACTAAATTCTCTGAACTAACATTATAAGAATTGCATGGTTGGCAGTAAGGAGAATTATAAATTTAATCTGGGAGTTAAAGGGTTATTAAGGAGTCTCATAAAAAAGTTTCCAGGCCTAAATGTAAACAAATATATGTACCTGACAGAGACTGAACAAATCCAAAAGGGCGTTAACTGCTTTCACTCCCAAGATCTCATGAATAATTCTCCTTACTATTTGCCAAAGAATTCTTATGCTTTTAGTTCAGAGAATTTGGTTTTGGATCAACTAATAATCTACTGATTGATATTTTTCACTATTCTCATTAATTATCTGCTTGAAGATGTATTGATATTGTAAGGAGAAATTCTGCCTTGGTCACTCAAGTGAGTTAGAGGGGTGAAAATGATAGAGTGAATTAATGATTCATTGATGAATTGATTCCTTCATTGAATGAAGGAAAGGAAGAATGAAATGGGGAATTAAAAAGATGGGTGAAGAAACCTTTAGTTGGTCAAATCATTTCCACTTGTTACTGGCCCACAGCACATTGTCTTTCAATCTGTGGCAACATTTTTGGTGGAATTGATGTTCTTGTACTTAACACCAAAAGTTTCTTCAGTCATCTATGAAATGAATTAAATAACTAACCTCATCATCCTCCTCATCACTGTTCTCTCCTGACAGGTAAGTCCAGTCCACTGAAGAATGTTCCTCTGGGATGGGTGAAGGCTGGGGGTTGTCAACACCAAGAAGTCCAGGCACACTGCGTGAACGACCCAAACTCTGATCAAAGGCAACGGGAAGGGACAGCTGAGATGCAAAAGAGAAGCTGCTTCCCAGTTCGTTTTCAGTGAATGATGATGATGAGTTCAGAGATTGCATAGAACTGTTACAACTATCCAATGGGCTTTCAGCACTGTGAGATTTATGTAATGTTTGTGGAAGCTGCAAGAAGCTTTCATCACCATAACCACCATAGGAATGGCGCTTGCCCTTATCAATCATATCATTGAAGACATTGTCGACGCAGGACAGTGAGGTGGTGTGTCTCATCCTGGTTTTGCGCATAATACTTTTCTTTTTCTTGAGGATGACCTCTGCTGTGCATGGTGGTAGTTGTTCAAGACTCTGAATGCGTGGTCTGACATAGGGTGGGCTGGTATATGAAACAGGGTTATCATCATCATCATTACTGTCCAGTTGACAGCAAGAAACTGAGCGACTCTCTGTCTGTAGCACCTGTTGTACTGGAGACCTGTGGGGTATCCTGGTACTGTAGGCACGCTGCCTCTCCTTTGGTGATTCTGGGCACAAATGATTAGAGAAATCTCCGTTTCTCGTGACATCTTCCCATGGGGGTGACTTTATTTCATATCCACTGTTTTCAACAACTGAATCATTTTCACAACTGTTTTCCAAATTTAAACTACATGATGACAAACTGTCACTTCCATATTCTGAGAGGAATTTTTGTGTCAGATTATGTATGTGTAATTTTCTAATGTCTGGAAAGCTGTTAAACATTGCTTCCTTGCGAATTGAAGGCCCTACCGGCAAGCAAGGCAAACTCTTCACTTTAAGACTTTCAGCCAATCCTTGGCGGCCCTTAAAATTCGCACGTAAGCCGCTGGTAATTAACTCAGAAGATGTACATGTATGATCACGCAACTTTACGTCTTTAAAGTTCTCGGGACTCGGCGAAGGACCAGGAGAAACGAGAGAGCATCTATTTAATTCAGAACTCCTTAACTCGATTCTCGTTTCCCTGCAAGATAAACAAACTCCTTGTTGTGATGATTCGTCGTCCTCTGTTTGTCCAAAAGTCGGAGAACAAAAGTCTTCCTCGTAAACTATGTCTTCTTTGTTTACTTTGTCAATCGGTAAACTTCCCGTATTTTCACAGATTGTATTTTCATCAGTAGTCAACTTTTCCTCGGATAGACTTTCGCCAGTGATCACGCGAGTTGTGAAATTAACAGAGGAAAAATCTTGTGAATAATTATTTTCGTCAAAGGCATAAATCATCTTTTCACGCACATAGAGCGCTTCAGTACCCTCGCACAAAGGGGTTGATTTGTCTTTTGTAAGTTCATTACCCGAACAGCCGTGGCTCAACAGGTAATTCCGCCTGTCAAGTTCTCGTTCGAAACATTCCATGTATTCAGGCTGCTGGATAAAATGATCCACATCGCCATCAAGTTTATCGTTTAAAGTTTTTCCGTTTTTCCTTTGAGGTCGAAGGATCGTTAGTTTGAATTTGGCATCTTTGGAACTACACTTGCGCGGTTTTTGAAGCCCTTGTACCCCTAACGATAGGCTGTTCCCCATTTCGGTTGCCGTGAGCTCAGCGCACTCGACAGCTTTGGAAGATAAATCCCTCTCCTCGGGAAAAATAGTCTGCTCCCTGAGACTATCACGCTCCAAGTGAGCACGGCTGTCTTCTTCAGTTGCAATATCAGTCTTCAATTCAAAGAAAATTGGTGATCCAATATTCAACGGGTCTTCATGTGCAAAATTTGACAAGATAGGAGGAGCCGAGCGTCTTTTCCATGCGTCACGATTCCTTTCGGCATTGCGGGTGATATTTCGCTTGCTTTCGAACGGTAGGCCACCTTTTGGAGTACCTCTTGAAAATGAGTCCACCGCTTCGAATTCTCGGCACGAATGCGGAGAGGCTGTCATATCTTGATCATATGCAGGTCCCGTTTCAATTGACACTGACCCAGAGGAACCAGGGCTAAATTCAACCGTGAGCGATCTCTCGAAACATCCGCGATTTTCTTGATATTCCTCCACTTGTATACAAGGTGGAATTGCAGCTAATGTTCGCGATTTTTCCATGAGTGAATCAGTGCACGGTTGTAATGAATTGTCCATAGAAAGCGACCTGCAAATGTTGTTGTTCGGATAAACCAGTGATCTTTTTGAGCGTTTCAAAGAATAATACTTGCTATCTTTACAACGGGAATCGTTATCACAATAAGAGTCAATGGATGAGGTACTGACAACAATATCTGTTACCAATGTATCGAAATTAGTGTTGTTACTATCTGTTGATAAATGGTCCGATAGCGGAGACTGAGGTGCAGTGAAAGACAAACTTTTCCCACGGTCATGCTCTCTCTTTGAATGACTTGCTCGCTTAAATAAATTTGTTAGTATACTTAAGCTCTTAGATTTTGAGAGAGATGTCTTTTCAGTGTTTGTCTTTGCCCTTTGTCGCTTTGATCTGAATGTTTTCTTCTGACGGTATGATGTTTCGTGACCGCAATCTGGCAGCTCGCTGATGAGTTCATTTGCACCAAGGCTCGGAGTCGAACCCGCGGAATTTTTCTTTTTCTTCCGAGCGCTATTGACGTTTGTTTTGTTTTGCTCAAATTTCCGATTATCAAAACTATAGCTGTCAAATGATGTTTTCCCATTCACGTAATGTGAGTGCGAACTTGTTTTTATCCCATTAAGGTGTTTGTGTGACACTCCATTCTGTTTTTCCTTCGCTGGCAAAATTTCCCGGCTCACGTGTTTTGTAGTATATTTCACACAGCCATTTTGATGATCTTTGCTGAGGTCGCTTCGATATTCTCCGCCAACAAGAGAGGCTGATCGTGGCGAAACTCCCTTCTTAATTCGTATCGACTTTCTCAACGAACTTTGGAATCTCTGCAGCCGTGATTTCCATTGCTTGGGATGCTCGGGTAGCGCCATACTATTTCCATTTTCTAACGGTTTGGATGACATTGTCGAGGTTTTCATCGAATAGCGACCATGCCCTCCTCCATAACTTTGATTTTCAGACGATTGAGAAGTAGCACTTAACCACAGTTCCTGCGTAAACAAACGTAAAAAATTTTCAATAATATCCGTAATAAAGAAAATAAAGACAGCAACACAAACGAAGACAACCATGTTAACGTCACCAACGTACAGTTTCGACTCGAATTGATCATAAATTTCCGGTGCGAAAATTTCCTTTAATTTTGTTCATACCACGAAGAACTGTCGAGAGTTTAGCGAAGGTTCTAATAAATTTTGCAGTTTCCCTGCAAGGGATTGAACGAATAATGAATTTTATAAGTGACAACTTCAATCAGGTCAAAACGTCCTTCGAGGAACCAGTGCGCAGTAGTCAAATTTACATCCGGTGTAAATTTCAGAACATTCTGATGGGTTCCAGTTGCCTCCTCATGAAATTAAGTTTTGTGTTCACGAATAATTTTGGCAAATGATTTAAACGAGGAGGCGGCAAAATGATTAGAAATCAGCGTTTTTAACTTAACTATCTCGCGAATAATACAATTTTAGAAACCTCTAGAAATTTGCATACCACGGGTCGTAACAAACAAAGACCCAAAATTAAAATGAATTTCGTTTTAGAAACACGGCACTCAATTGGTCCAACAAAGTCACCAACAATAGAGAGATTAGGACGGGAAACATTTGCATGGATGCCATTTGGACACGATATCGCTAACAAATGTAAAATAAACAAATAAGTGAAAATGAAATCATCCTCATTAAAATAATTGTTTGTTTATGAGCTTACCAAAGTATGTGTTAATTCCTGGGACTAATTCTCGATCAATTTGTTGTCTCACTAGGAGTTCAGCTGCTAAAAGTGACAGGAAAACGCCGCTATTTCCTCAGACGAACTTCAGACGAAGAGTGCGCCTACAGCAATATTACTAGCTAACAAAGCGGACTGCTAATCGTTTTGTTTCACAGACAAATTGAGCACATGACATCAAAAGGCAAAGACGCCTAACTAAGACTACCTGCGGTGCTTCAGTTAGATGACCCGTAGAGATTTTATCCCGAGCCAATTGAGCGAACAGTGATGATACAATCTGTTATGGTAACACTTATCAGCGATGACAAACAAAAGGGTCACCCTGTTATCAGAAAGAGTGAATGCCGATTGAAAGCTTTTATATATGCTCATCGTTACTCTTTCTTTGCAAGTTGAAGAGAGAAAATGCAAGAAATATTCTCGATGCGGGCAGGATCTCTAGTTTTAAAGGCAAACAGGGCGGAGATTGTTTTTTTTTTTTACGCATCTGTTTATTCATTATTTATTTTTCTGAGCCAGGGACTTGTGCCGGCGGTTTTCCGGCGCTTTTCACGATAAATATCAGCTACAAACAAACCAATAAACTTTTCCATCATCATAATGCTCTTGCAAAGGTTGCAAGACCCTTTGGAAGATTATTCCATCATAGATTTGACTACAGCCGAAGGTAAACATCGTAAACAAGTAAAATAAGAAAATCGTGGCGGTATCTTCAGTGATATTCGCGTTCCTTTCCTTGCAGAAAAAGCCTTTATCTTAATTTGACTCGAGACAGCGAAAAAAGCTGCAGCAACTCCATTAAAAAAAATACAATTCTGTCAGATCATTGAAGTTCAAACTTCGTGATTTGGCGGTGTCTGCAAGGTAATTTATTTTCTGCCTTTGTTTAATTTTCCTTTTCAAGCGAATGAAATAATTCTTTTTTTGTTAACTCCTTTCCGCTTTCTTGATTAGACCACTCGAATGGTTTACCAACGTGAAGGAACTTTCACACGAAACTTACCCTAACAAAGAGGCATTATTATGTCATAGATCAGAGATACTTACCACGCCGACCTCCAGCGGAAGTGACTCCAACCCTAATCTTAAGGTTTACTACACTCGCTGCACGTGCAAATAAACTCATTAAGGATTTCTAGCAGTTAGGACTGCAACGCCAAGGAAGACGTCGATTTAAAAATGAATATACTTTTAGTTGGAATTACGCGACTGACTGGATGTGTTTACCATCTCTTCCGGCGCCGAAAGCTAACCTCAGCACAACGTATGATAGCGACGATGAGTTCTAACTAGGAACTTGAATAATTTGCCGTCGGGGTTTCCTTTCTTGGACCACGCAAATTTTGATGATTTCACTTTGTTATTTTGCAGAGGAAAGCTATGAAGTGTACACAGTTTTAAAACGCACGTGCTGAGCTATTGTTCTGCTCATTATATCTTTTGCTTTGTCAAGTCCTCGTTACCGTTGCCGTTGTGGTTTGCTAAAGGTTCTATTGTCAATACAAGGCCATTTTGCTTCAAAAACACTGGACAGTCCACCTCACCATTAGAGAGAATTTTCAGTTCTGTTGTATTTTAATTTAGTCTCATTTCTCTGTATGTAAAAAAAAAATTCAGTTTAGTTAGCTTGCCCCGCTCAATTTTTTCAAAGTTGGATTTTTACGCTGTTTGTAATCCTAAGCGCACGGTCTTTTATTCAAGTTTCCAGAGACTTTTCGAGAGCACACATATGCTTATGAGGTCAGTCATCGACACAATCAAAACATTACCCAATTAGAGTAGCCCAAATGCACCGTTATGTTATAGTTGACCTTCTGTAGCTTAACCACATATTCATTAGCAATAGTTTTAATATAATGTCATAACCGAAATCGCCCGTACGGTCCGAAGAAAATTGTAGTAGTATTATTCATATTACAAATGACGGAGTAAAAGGCCTTCTCATGAAGTGTTTCGCGTCAAATCTCTTCAGTAGCAAGTGTTTTTGTCTTGGTTACAGTTATTCCTGACGCAGGTGTTCTGGAGAGTTTCACGAATGGTATACTTCACGCTGGATAATTTTAATTAAATCAAAAATGATAAAAATAAAAAAATGTCTTCTTGGTCTCTGTTGCGTCGTTGTCCTACCAAAGTATTTTAGGTTTATATGGTGAGATCGCTGACTGCGGTAAACTTGTAACTGTAAGCTCAGCCGAGTCTAGTTTTCATACGCCATAGTGAAACAGCAAATATTCGAAATCCAGGAATGCTTTTATGGCTGTTAATTTGCTACAATGACTTCTTCAATACTCGTTCTCTTATATGAATGCAATAATTACAAATCATCGAGACGTTTCCAATGGGAAATAGTATTGCTAAGCCGGGCGCTTAATTAACAGAAAGTCTGAAGTCCAAAGTATGTCGACCGACCCACTCTAAAATGTGAACAAAATGTTTTGGGGTAATTTTAATTTCCTCGCTTGTGAAAGCTATTCCAGGCAAAAAAATTCTTCTTTTTGTCCATTGGAAAAAAAACAAACAGATATCAAACAAATATCAAACGACGGCCAATATTCCTCAAACAAATTTCTGAGTTTGATATACAACTAAATAAAGTGTAAAATGGAAAAAAAGCAACATTGAAAACACGGAAAATATTGTAGGACTATCGAATAAATTTAACTGGGTTTACAGCATTTGGTTGTTGACACGAAATTCTGAGGTCAGTCACGATCTAGTAAATAATATGTCCTTTTATTCTCTTTCCTCCAAGAAGTGATTAGAGAATAATTTCCCACTGCAATATTTATCACTGATCATCGAGCAAACGAGTGATAGAATAGAGAGAGTTGTCGGCTGATTAGTGTTTTCTTGTAATAGCACTCTTAAAATTCTCTCTTAACTTATCTACGAGGGGAAATAGTCAGATGACAATAAGTTTGAGACTTAGGCATCAGATGTTGGATCTTAGGAGGTAAACTGTAAAAGATTTTAAAAGACATCATTGCAAAACGCAGCGAAAATCATGTATATCGAATATAGACAATATATCGAGTGTACCTCACACTTTCACAGTAAACTTTCACTACAGCTTGAGATCAGTGCGCAATTAATTATGTGAGTTTAACCCTTTGACTCCTAAGGGTGATTAGCCATTAATTTCTCCTTCAGTACAATATTATCCCTGAATCAAGAATAAAGGAAATGTCACATAATAAAGAAGCTCTTGATTGTTTAAGAAATTCTCGTTGTCAGCATCTTAAGAAATGTATGTAGAACAGTATGGAGAATATGCATGCTGATGTTGGGATGTAAGAGGCTTTTGGCAGCCTTGTCAGGTTTAGCCATAAGAATAAACACCTTTATCCTGAGTGAAAAGCTACTGACTGCATATTTTGATTTGTGAAAGGCCTAACTGCTAAAAACTATTGTGAAATTGTATTATATTCTGTAATTTCCGGAATAAAGTCTGAACAATACATCTGGAATTTCATACTGTATAGAATCACTTCACTAAAAAAAACGTTATTGCGTGCTTAAAATTAAGGGATTTTATTTGGCATGTAATAAGCTGTATTGAGTTTGAGTTAAGTGCCATATATGAAATGGCCAAAACATATAATCAATCGTATTGCTCGCATCGCTTTTAGGCAAAATTAACGGATAGCATGTAAGAGACGCCGTCAGAGTCTCCGAGTATATTAGCTGTAGATCAGAGGTCTTTCTCGGTTTTTTTTTCTTTATCTCATTAATTAACAAGCAGCAAAATGATCTATGCCATATAATACCGTTGGCGTGCAGTGCGCGGAGAACTGACAGCAAGTTCCCAGTCTCATCGAGCTCTCTTCCGCCATAAACTTACTCTTGTTTATAACAGTGGGAGCGAACACTTCATAGTCTTGTCAGACGGAGCTCATCACCTATGTAGCTAATATCTGTAGGGATTTAATTGTGGGAACGCTAGTTTAAGAAGATAAAGGCATAACGCTCGGTTGTTTTGATTGGATAACAATAACATATGATAGTTCATGGACAATTAGTTTGCAATACTATACTTGTATATTTTAATTAAAACCATTCTCTGATATACAAGGAGGAACAATTCACGTGCTAGGCGCGTTATACCTGATCGCATACCAGAAGTTAGGAGGCGCCACTGAGTCGGAACTCTCCGTGGCTGGGTAAGCTGTCACCATCCCTTGGAGTCAGCTGACAAATAAACTTTCGAGTGCAAAGAAAAGTTACTTATTCAAATTAATCACTCTCAAAATTCAAAAACCATTAAAAAAGCTGGGAACTGAACGAACAAAATTGGGAGACGGCGCAATCGGAAGCACATTCACAAGTTTCTCTCAAAATTTACCTCTGGGTCGAATTTGTCTGAAAAATATGTATCAACATTCCTTTGTCTTATGATTCCGGATTATGGTTTTTCTTGTTGCCAGCTCTGGCGCAACCTCTCGTATCGGGTTTACAGTTTAAACTTATTTGTGGTTTTCATAAGCTGCAAATAGACATGACGTATACTTGAAATTAAAGCGAACTAAAGTTTTTCCAAATTGTTGTGGTAAGTTATTGTGTGTCAAAAGAGACATTCGTTCTGTTTTTTCAAATAGGTTGAAATATTTGATCGAAAAATAAAAATTGCTTTGAATTAGTTTCATTTTCACATACGAAACCCTTGGCTTGAGGAACTGAGCCCAGAAAGCGTTAAAATATGCAGGGATCGGAAGCGAATGGTGAGAGCAACGAATGTTGTCCACAGTTCAGGGATTACGAACTTGCTAATACATGATTTATATCTTCAATTTAACATAGGATAAGTTATTCAATAAGAATCCATCCGTTTGGATAAACTGAATTTACAACTTTGATAAATAAACCATGTATGTGTGAAACCGCCGCACTGAAACGTGCTCTGACTTGTAACTCATGTGCAACTGAATTGATTATCAACTCTGAAGAAACCAAACTACAACCGAATCCTCACAAACCACTCACCTACCTTTCTTCTGCGACCTTTCATTGTAATCAGCGAGCGGGTCGACAAGTCATTCTCAGAAACCGAACCATCATAACCGCGCTAGGATCACAAAATGAATGATTCTCCATTATGCAATGTGTAAAAGTTCACCCGTGATTCAACGGAGCCAAAGATGTCAACACCAGATCGCTTATTTGCTAAAAAAGAATCTCTGCTTCTGGGCCTGGAATTCAAATCTTTTGTAATCCAAGTGTATACGATCAATTGCTCAACAAGAAGCCCACGATTTATACCTTGAAGTGCCAATCAAAGTAATTCAGCGAAGTAGTGTTATGATACTTCCTTAGCTCTGAAGTAATTCGAGACTATACAACCGCAGAAAGTTCAACAAGTCATCGGAAATCACGAACCACAAACATGACGATGTGACTTCGGATCAAGAATTAAGGAAACAAAAAACAAAGGAAAAGGTCTCCAATTGTTTAACCATTTGTCAGAAGAAAAAAATTAGCAGGTACAATGAAGAAAAATGTGCTGCTAAATATGATGGGAAAATAAGGTGTATGCTTCTTGACTAACCTTCGATTAGAAAGCTTGCCTAACAATGGTTCTATAGACTCAAAAACAGTGAAACACACTGTGTAATTTAATAATCTTATCGCTACAATAAAAACGCTCACAAATAAAGAAATAAACGATCGAATATACGATAAAGGAAGAACAACCTATCCTAACAAATCACTAAACGAAAAATAGTATCTAAACAAGAAATGACCCTGATATTTGTACTTTGTTTTGTACGTCTTTCGGCTCGTCGCAATTGTAAGAAACATCGTGAAAATGTTGCAATGTGTGAAACGAAATGCCATGGCGAAAGAGAAGATTCGAGAAACTGGTAACATTTTCAACTACGATATGAATAACACAAATATGACATTATTTGCTTGTGAACTCCATTGGTGCAACTCGTCCCGCAATCAATAAAGCTGATTTGCATAGAATTCCCAGACGAAATTCAGACGATCAGAGAATCTGACTATCGTCTCCGTCGCGAAACGAATTCATGTAACTTGGGCTGCTATCAGTGCAGGACAATTTGTCTAGCCCTGATTGTAGAATCATGGAACAAGTCTGACATAAGGTAAAGGTGCAATATATATTGTCACTAAGGACCTCTTGGCAGAAGATTCCTCCGCAGACCAGGATGCTTAGAGGCTAGTACTCTAAGACAGTACAATTAATCTTGACGTGTCCATTAGTTTTATCAGAAAGGTTGAAGTTCAGATCATTATGTCTGGTGCAATTTAAAGGTGCATGAGACTGTTGTCACTATGGCTCTCTCAGCAAAAGATTCCTCCGGAGACCTGGATGTTTGCAGTCATGGATTCTAGGACAATACAGTTAATCTCAACCTGTTAACTATTTTTTTCAGAAAGGTTGAAGTTCAGATTATTTTCTTGAAGAAAAAAATGATGCGGTCATAGCAACCTCGTAAACTTAAATGCACTTTTTTCTTATCGACATTGTGGTAATCCGATACCCGCGAAAATGGCGAATTTCTTGAAAGTTTGAAGCCCTCGGACGGTTAGATTATAAATGAAAATAGAAGGTGAGCAAGCGATGCTGAATTCAAAATATGTGTTAATCCCCTGAGATGAACCAGCATTATCAGTTAAGTGACTTACTTTCGAAGGATTTTAGGTATTACACTGAAAATCGCAGAAGTTTGTAAGGAGATTTTTGCTATCTTTCTAACTGATTGTCTTAAAGATGATTTTCTAATCTGGTTTAACAGAACGTGATATCAGGCGACAGATCTTAATCGTAAATTCTTGTAAAGAATTAGAAAGCACCCGAATGAAAATTTGGAATAGTGAAATACCTATCTCTTTTAGGTTGTCCCAAATTGGTTTCATTTTTCCCCGGAATTCACCATGTGAACACTCGAAGTCTCAGCGCGAGCGTAAGTAGTTCCAGTGATTGGATTGAGGTGCTATCGATTCTCAGAATAGAATTCTCTGTATGGATATTAAAGACATCTCTGGATAGGACTATGTGACCTCCCGTCACCCTGGTACAAACACAAGTTTTCCTAGAAAACTTAGAATCTACAATTCAGAAGGGTTGTTAATGTAAATAAAAACTACATGTTAATGTAAATAAAAACTACATTGCAGAAAGTCTTAGAGCTGATTTGAGGAGTTTAGCCTATTAAACGCTACCGGAAGGCATCTGATTAAGGAACGGTGTTTTAGATAGAGTACGTGAAGGCAGTATCTGTGCAGCCAAAAGTGGAATAGAAAAGGGCGAGGTTAAGAGAGTATACGAGCTGAGTTCATGGCTAATGCCATTCATTGCACAACTTTGTTGAGTTATCACCCCCTTTGGACAAGACCCCCCCCCAGTTTGACAAGAAAGAATCCTTAATTGAAATCGTCCTCAGACAACTACGTTGTTCGTCTGTACGCGTTGCACGATTTGCTTCAGTTATTTGCATGTATGGGTGTCCCCTATTCTTTCATTTATCCTTTTACGATGACGGATCGTTTGACACCACAATCTCGAGTAAGCGGAAGCTGGAAGCTGACGTGAAATAATTTACTTATCGAGTTAAATGGATATGCTTGAAGAAGGCTTATTGAAGGCACGAAGAGATATGTTACTTGACTCTGGCTAACGGTAAGTGGGGATGATCGATTACAAACGGACCGACGAGAATCATGCGTCATTCCGACTAGAATTCGTCGCTTTTCTCACTCACCCGTGTTTTTCGACTTACCGTGGGCTTACCAGATATTAGCAAGAGAACAAGAGTTGCTTGTGTTTTACTGAGAATGGGGAATTGTGCTCCATTTGAATGGGCAAACAAAAATGAAGTACTGAATTCAACAAACGTATTTGAAGAAACCCACCTGCAGTGAAATAAATTTCCGCCGCGAAATCAGTCCTTAAAGGAAAAGAAAGGCATCAATCAGCTCAGGACAGTGATGGCTAAAAAACTGCTGAAGGGTCCTTTTCAATAAGACGTTGAAAGTGAACATACGAACAAATTTACAACAAAACTGTGGAAGCTGCTGAACCTGAGAATTATTTGTTAGGCAAGAACAAGTCAGCCCTGTGTTTCCAGATGGAAATCCTTTAAAAATTCATATTTATCAGGTAAATAACACCGCATATCGGCCATTTGCATTTGAGCTTTCATCAGATCGTCACACTTAGCAGGTGTCATGCCCGGAGGGAGAATGCATCTTGGAATGAACCATACGAATTCCCTCCGAAAGAAGAGCATAACTTTCCCAGGGGTTAAATTACGACTCGGTATGGGAAGAGCAAGGAAAACTACCGTTAGATATTTTATAGGGAATAAGGGCAGAATCTGTCGTATATATCAGCGTAAGATCAACCAAAAAAATTTCTCCCCTATTATTATCCAATGTTTTTCTTCATTTCAGGGAGAGAAATAGGGCGAAGTGTCCCTTGCTCTAGGCTTATGACACAAATAGCATTTGTTTAAGAATGGCTCCAATCCAGAGAAGTGAGAGGTTGAAACTCGTGCACACTACTTTTGTTAAAAAAGAAACCTCCCCCCGGACATCATGGGGTATTAAAGAAAGCTAGGCAAAGTACTTCCCTAACAACTTGGTTTTCGGGTAATTTGATATCATCAACTGAGTTGATGACGTAAAATAAAATTGGCCACCGTCAAGAGTTTCAAAGCTGCGGTGGCCAATTTACGCTGTCAACCCAGTTGATAACACTAAATTTCCCCGTTATACTCTCCCACCGACGCAGTACCACAGTTTCTTTAGAAACTTACCTTCGTTATCAACTTTGTTTTAGTCTGGCATGCGATGAAGAGAAATTGTAACAATAATTTTGATCGCTATTCTAAAATTTGCATCGAATTTAAATTGATGTCTTTCCAAACCGTTGCTATTCTGGTCAGAGGTCGCGTTTTCCCGCCACGATAGAGTAATATAACTCTGGCAAGCTAGTAAGCGGCAGTTAACTCCTCTCCATTGGATACTTTTTATCTTAGTTCTTCTTATTCCTGAAGGGAACTTCCCGTAATGCTTTTCCACTGGTTCGGGTCAACACCAGAACACGTGTATTTTCTCGGGCCCAATTTTTCTCCTGAAGGAAAAAAAATTAGAGACCAGCTTTATTTTGGAAAATCTTTACATTAAAGTCAGTTTCAGTGGGTGATTCCACACCGTTGCGATGCGCATCTGGTGCTGCGCATAACATCACGTACTACGTACTGTTATGAGGCTCGGCCTGTTGGCGTAATTGGCAACACTAACGTGGCGTATTCATGACTCTTGCGGGCCTGAATTTTTCCAGGTCTTATTTTCACCGCTACTTAAGTAGTGTTCATAACTGCGAGGATCGCTTTCATATTCGTTTCTTCAACCGCAATTCACATAAATGATTTTCATATCTCTTCTTTCGTACAGTCACTACGTAGGTTTATTTCAGTGGAACCAGCATAATAACCAGCTCCCGGTTGGCTTGTTAGCTTAGATGGTAGAGCGCTGCACTGGTATCGTAGAGGTCATGGGTTCAAATCCCGTACGAACCTGAACTTTTTTCAGGCCTCATTTCACTCCTACTTAAGTAGTGATCATAACTGCGAAGATCGCTTCCAGGTACGATGGTCTTTTCCTTTTGAACGAGCACAGTGAGCTATGTTTTTATCGCATAATTATTATACACAAATTATCGCCTTTCAATCAGAACAAGCTGAAAAAAAATATACGGACGGAAAAAAGGTACAGCTAAAAGAGCGCAAGAAGCTCGTTATTCAAGGACGCAAATTATCACCTTGAAAGCAATGACTCGAAGCACGTTTTGAATCAGTGTAGCGTTATTTTTCCATAAATTATGAAATACATTGCTCCATATTATACGCTCCTGACTTTTTACCTATCAAGTGTTGTTTTACTGTTACTTTAACCGTACCGTACCTCAAGAATCTGATAGAAGACTGCATCAATGGCTCGAGTCTTGCTGACTCCCAGATGGCGTTTGATCTTGTCCAC